CGTCTGGGAAGTTGACATTATGATTTCTTAAGGGGTTTGTTAAGGGGAAAGTTGACAACTAACATGGGAAGGAGTGAGTATTTTTTGATTTTCAATTTCTAGGTTAGTTTTTCTTTTTAAAAAAAGATCTTAATTTTAACTTACAAAAAATCAAGTTTAAATTTTATGTTAATCTATATGTCTAATTTCATGTATGAATTATCTTTTGGCATGGTTGTGTAACTGTCTATAGAATGAGAAGAAGACTTGTAGACATTGATTAGCAAAGAACGATGATGTAACGACATAAACGTAATCATATTTGTCAGTATTACTTATCAAAAAGAAAAGGTAATTATATTTGCCTATTGAGGCCAAACGCCATACTGTCTAGTAAACCGGTATGCAATAATCTATAAGTTCAATCTTTGAAGGCTCAGCCATTGAAACAGTTTTTGATAAATAGGTGAGATTGGTAAATGATACTCAAGTAAAGACTTATCTTAAATCCTATCTGCTTAATGTAGCTTAATCTTCTTGTAAGTTTATATATCATCCTTGTTGAGTATGGTATTCTAACATGTAATAAGGCCTTAGGCTATCACAGGAAAGATATTGGTAAGACAACAGTACTTTAGAGCTTGAACGCATACCTATAGGCTTAATTTTGATCAAAATCGAAATAAACCCAAAAGAAAATTGAAGAAAAGGATAATGTATGTAACAGATCTTGCTTTTGATATTTAAACATTTGGAGGCGAACAGTCTAATAGACTTAATTTTGTTTTCCATGAACATCTATGAACAGTTGGAGGCAAACAGTCTAATAGACTTAATTATGTTCTCCAGGACTATCTAGACAGTATTGTACAGAAAGCACAGATTGTACGGTACTATGATTTCAGATTGAGCTTAAATATCTAATTTTGATCTGCCTCGAAATGTTTCTACTGCTTCTTTACTGTTAGCCTTACTCACCCTTTAGAATGGTAGCGTTTCAGGATATTGATTGTAGGAGAATCTGCATTTTGTATAATTATGATGTTATCAATTTGGTGTGGAACCTTGGATCTGCAAGGGATAATATCCAATCTTTTAGGCTATAGTTTTGGAATTAATATCAGTGATTTTGTTTCTTAAATTCTTACATTCCAAATTATTGCAACTTTATTCCTCCGTCTCCTTGTAAGCTAAAGATCAATTAGTGGTGCTGGCATGGTTTATGGCGTTCTTTTGTGTCTTACGGTTTTTAATTTGATATTCTGATTGATGTGATTCGTTTATGTGGTTGATCACGTTACAGGTGCTCCTGGATATATTACCTCTTCATTATTGAACGGAACGTCATTTGTGCATGGGTGGGAAGAGAGGTTTTTCATATCCAAGTGGAGTATGCATCAGCTGGTTTGTGTTTCAACTCCACTTGAATTGCACTGTGATCTTTTCTCCCTTTTCTCTCTTCCCTCCATCCATTTGCGTACTTTGTTATCTAGATTTCTTGCACTGTTTTGTTAGACAGTGCTTAGTTCTGTGTCATGTATGCATAGTCAGTTTTTCTTCTTTGTTTCTGCCATCTTGTTGAAATTTGTGTCTAGATTTTTATATATGTTGGTCAATGTAAAACAGTAATTAATGATAGACGGAGGCACGGTTTTGCATATTTTATGAGGCTCTATGTTTCTTAATTTGATTAACCCACAGTGCTACTCATACATTCATAGGGGTGGTTTTGTTGATAATATGTTCTCCAATCTGATTATTAGGTGTGCCATTTGTCTTTTTCTTGGATAGTTTCTTTGATATCTATTTATTGGTTAGACTTCAGTTGCATATTAAAGCATCCATTATTGGGAATTTGTCTAGCAATATGGACAAGAGACTCGTTTGTAATTTTGTTAGCAAAAACTACTTTCTTTGATAGATCAATTACATCTGATATTTGGTCTTGCAGTTGATCGAGTGTCCGTCAATATATGAATTAATGGGGTGCCCTGATTTCCACTGGGAGCATGCACCACTTTTAGAAATTTGGAAGGAAAAATCTAACAGTAATGGAGAGTCCTCCGTTGTACTCGAGTCTTACTCTCCACTGGAAGCTGTATCAGTGTATGAGTTAGCTCTTTCAAACAACAAGGTGAGCTGGCCATGGAATAGAATGTCAAACAATTTATACTGAAAAGCTGGTTTTCATGAGGTCTCCTCATTGCAGGGCTTCTGTATAGGTTATAGACTTATCATTGAAGTAAAATGCATTTCCTTTTCCCCCTCTCTTGAGCTGTCTGTATATTGACCTTGAACCACACATTATTGTTGTTGTTTCATCTCTTTGGAAGTTGAACGGCAACTATAAAATTCATTTATCCATCTTTGCAGGTTACTTATAATGGAGAAAAAATTTCTTTGCCATTCAATCTGGAACTCTTGAAATGGGCTAATAAGACCCGAGAGATTTTGTGCCATGCAAAGGTTCCTGATAAAGTTAAGTTTTACAACATCTATGGGACCAATTATGAGACGCCTCATAGTGTCTGGTACTATTTCTTTCTTAAATATTTGGATCTCAATTTTTTATTTGTCTGAATATGGATGTGAATAATGAATATGTGTGTTTATATACTGTTTATAGTTCTAATTCATGGGAATCTGGTCACTGAATTGGCTTCTTTGCAGTTATGGAAGTCAGAATGCACCCATTTCTGATCTTCAACAATTACCATTTGTCCAGGTAACATTGTTTTATTTGACTTTGGACTGGTCTGACTGAATTATGTATTTTAATTTTTTCCTTTTGTCTTTTCCCACTGGTCTCTCTGACTAGCATTTTTTATGCATATTCACAGTCCAACTACATATCGGTTGATGGAGATGGTACAGTTCCAACAGAATCTGCGAAGGTATATGCTCTACATTTTGCCTCATGTGATCGTGATATGAATCTTTTATTTAATTACATTTCTAGAGAGATCTTTAATAATACTTTAGACCATCTTGTATGTTCTCTTTTGCTTGCCAAATTGGAACCAATGTATCATAGAATGTGGTATGTGTTGTTTTTAAGTTAAAAGGCGTCACACTTCCTTTCTTGAACTAGTGTTATATATTCTGCTTGGACTTGGGATGTAGTAGGGGGAGAATGGAAGGAAGGAAAGCCTAAAGCACATATTTGGTTATAGCAGATTCATTAGCCTAGGTCCTTTCATTTATTCTTAACATGTTGTGTTTAGGGTTAATTTGCAGTATAAACATTTCTTATCTTTATCATTCTTGCCTCTCTTAATTGCTCTTACTGTTAAAGATGTTAATTTGCACGAGATCTTGGCTTTAGTTATATGCCTAGTTACATCTTTAAAGTTGAGCATTTTTAGATCTGTCTTGTGTTGTTTTCTCTTGTATCTTTTCATTTCCTGCTTTTAGATGTTGGAATCTCACCAACGTTCACTTTGAATAAGTGCTCTGTTGAAAACCAAGTACCTTCAGGGACCAGGGTTTGGTTCGCTTTTAATTCCTAGTAATGTAAAAAAAAAAACGTTCAGATAGTAAGGTGCTTACCAAGAAGACGTGGATTCTTGGTTATTTCTTTGGTGCCTCAGAAGTTTGAGCCAGTGCTGTTTAAGGGCTGCCAGCACAATGTTCCTGTGTAAATGAGAAAAAAATGGAAGTAATTAAAAAAAAAAAATTATTTAAATTTGAAACTGTTGCCACCATTAGATTTTTCTGCTAACCTACCCTGCACAGTAATGTAAGAAGTGATTGTTTTTTCTCTGCTTTTATAACTACCTGATCCTGACAAATGTTAAAGTTATATGGTTTGATGTGCTATCCTTCTCAAGAAATATGGTTCAATGTGCTATACTTTCTGGCAGGCTGATGGGCTTAAAGCAGAAGCTAGGGTTGGAGTCCCTGGAGATCACAGAGGAATCATCTGTGACCGCCATGTGTTTAGAGTGATCAAGCACTGGTTAAGAGCAGATCATGATCCTTATTACAATCCAACCAACGATTATGTTATCCTACCCACTTCATTTGACATCGAAAGGCACCACGAGAAAGGCTTGGATGTAACTTCTCTTAGAGAGGAGTGGGAAATTGTTTCAGAAAGCCAGGATGGGAAAGAGAATGCAGATAGCGGAAAGACAAAGGTGGGTTCTATATCTGTCTCTCATGTTGGAGATGACAATACTACGTGGGAAGAAGCCCATGCGACTGTTATTGTCCACCCTAAAAGTGAAGGTAAGCAACATGTAGAGTTGAATGCCATGTCTGTCTCTGCAAGGGCTTGAAACTTATTTTACCATATGGTCAAAGGGGCTTTATTGTTTTATATCCATCTGTCTATTCTTCCTGATTTCTTCTGTATATACAAACTAGTCGTGTTCCTGAACAGAACCATGTATGTATGTATATATATGTGTGTGCGCGCATATTAACATTATCAAGTATGTGATGTGGATGAATCAAATAAGAAACTTGATTTCTTGTTCATCACTTGTTACTTTAAATGCCAATGTCAAATGTGAAACCACAACATGTGTTGATGATGCTAATCTTAAAAAAATCAACAATGGAGGAGTTCTAAACTCCATCTGAAAATGAAAGAGAAGTTAGTGAACGAATGAGTATCGAGAATAAGCCAGGTGATACGAGCAAACGCATATGGCTGTAAGGCGTGAAACGGAGTCTTTCAAGGTAAAATTATGAAGACAACTAAAGACTTCTTTGCAACTCAGTGAAAAGGTTGCAAAGATTCTAAAATAGTTTTGATCAATTAAACAAATGTTGTTACACCAATCAAAAAGTGATTGGTATTTTGAATTTGGAAAAGTTTGATAAAAACATATATTTACTTTTATTAAAAGGAACAACTACCTCCCTCATTTATGTAGAAGCTGAGGTTCATATACAGTTTCTGCTAAACACATGCAGTTACTCAAAATATTGTTTTTGTATTACATGCTTCCTTGGAAAGTTGCACATTCTCTGATCTTCTTGAGTTAAAGACATGGATACAAAATGACAGTTCTGGGGCTTACTCCACTTCATAAATTTTGTATGACAGCTTCACAGAAATGATACAACAAATAGATACACTTCTCTTCTAAACACATTTCTTACATATTGTACAACTTAATATCTAACCTCTATATGTAGCTTCATGAATTAAAAGTGAAAAAGAATAATAATAATAATACTCATACTGGTGGGGGGCTTAAATAATACTACAAGTCCTCCCAGCTCAGTGCATGACTGAGCCTCCCAAAGACAAATGAAGCAAATAAAATGAGGCAATTCACTCTTTTTTTTTTTTTTTTTGGCAAACGGAGACGACTCATCATTGTTTCCTTCTCTTTGGTTCGCGCTGCTCCCCTAGCTGCAAAGAAACATACATCTCATCATCTGATCCTCCCATCACAGAGAGTCTTTTTAATTCCCCATTTCCATGTTGAATCCCAGAGACACTTGGGATAAACTGATGCTCAACGCAGGGAGTTGCTTTATTTCTATCCTGAATGTGGAAGTGTTTATGCTCGAGTGGTGGAACTATCCCTTCGTCAGATTCATCATCAATGGGATCTTGTCGGACGTTTAAATTGATTGGCTCAAAGTTTTCTTCAGCTTTCAATTGAATCCGCTCTGCTGGTGACGACCCTCCAACAGCAGAACCAGTACCCGCAGCTGATGCAATAATTTGATCTTGCAATGCAACTGATTTAGAGGAAGTGAATACAGAAGTAGGGACTACAGAGATGAAATAATAAATGATAGAGATCAAGAAAATTTGAAGGCAAAAATTAGAAATCAAAGCTTTTATTAGACTGAATACTAAGTTTTTGGACTCATATCTACAATCTTTTTGTTCCACCACATTTCACAAATATTTCCTCAAAGACCAAACTGTTATAACTGGCACAATAAACCAATATAGTCTTTAGTATAGTTTATCTATCCTTCCACACTGGGGACACCTTTTAGAGAGCTAATAATCCTATACTAACCAAGCCATTTATAATTTAAGCTTGTATTTTAACAACATGACCATGCAAAAAGTAACAACATATTTGGTGAGTCCTTACCCTCCCAGAACCACACTCCATTTATAACCCTTTTCGTGGCAGGGGAAGGGGTTGCACTTCACGTCATATCATGTCAAAATCCAATAATTTCATGACAATTTTTAAAATGGAAGTACTGATACCGACTAAGGAGCATTAGATGCTGAGAGATACCAACCTTGGAGACTCTCGTTGGATGTAATGAGATCAAGTTCAAGAAGATCAAGGAGACGCCCCAAATCAACCCCACTAGTCCAATTCTCAGGAGGTTGGCCAACTCTCAATTTTAAACGACCTCGATTGGCAGTTCCCCCCCAAATTATTCCTATAGGCCGTGGCTTCTCCCCCTCTGGGCTAGTCAAGAGAATGAGGCTACCACTGTCACCTTCAAGATCAAATGTCTGTTGGTTCTCACCAACAACTAGAAAATCTGTAAAGAAACAAATTCCTTTTTCATCATTATACTCCAGGGCATAGGCCATAATGTTCCCAGTCGTAAGACCAGAGCTCCTTCCAACTTTCACCACTTGCCTACCAATGACGCTACCAACAGGAGACTGTAAGTCTATTTTATTGACATCACCTATGTCTCCTATTCCTTTCACAGACGTCGTTACATTCAACATGTTGAAATCTTCGGCAAATGGAATAAATGCTCCATCAGCTCGAACAAATGTTTCTGCAAGATTACAACATCACAACCGGAATACATGGGTGTCTGGATCCAATTCGAAACACTACTGTTGTTCAATTGGGCAAAAGTATGATACAACAAACACCATTTACATTACCTGGGTTTGTACCAGCAAATATGCCATACCAAAGATCATCTGTTATGAAGGATGTAGCCCTCTCCACAGCACCTAAATACACCCCAGGCCCCAGGCTAGGTGGCAGAGGATGAAACATTTTCTGGCTTGGATAATCCAAGTCAACTGCTACATGACGATTGGTAAGGAAACCAACCTGCCTGATTCCTGTCCGACTTTTAACAATCGCACCCAAGGTTCCATATGTTTCCTGACTAGCAACCTAGGACATATGAAAGACAAAAAGGTTACTTCAGAATAAAATGTTATGTGAAGCCAAATCAATTAAGACAATAAATCTGCAGGATCAAGAAAAGTAATTACTTTTATCTCAACATGGGCTTCGTGTCAACATTCTTAAAAGAGGAATTTTTTTCCTTAACAATGGATTACCTTTTAAACATCATAACTAACTTCAGAAGTTACTTTCATCCTACTGTTAAGCTTATAAAATCTCCAATCAATAAAAGTACCTCGTTTACCAATTTCTCTTCAATTACTTGCAATTTATCTCTAGGTAATAAATTTTAGGTCCATCCTACACAGGGAAAAAATGGGACAAAGAAAGTACAAAATCTAGTGTTGCAATGCAGAGTGTGATAGAAGAAAAGGTGTATTTAGTATGTTTGGGTAATCTTGAAGTTAAAAGTTACTCCATGAAAGCATAACGGAGAAAATTGCAAACATCAAATATTTTAAAATCAGATCAATCACTTTCACGGTAGGCTCACTTCAAATCCACTTTTTGTATCTACATCACAAAATTGACTAGGATTATATATACAAGGAAAAGAGGATTAGAAATGCATTAATGGCATACTTAGGTAAGGCTAGAAAAGTAATCCATCTTTAGATCAATCAACCGGTAAACCATTTAACCACTGTTTACAATAAAATGTCACATTCTAAATATTAAGAACTTTTCTTTTCATGACCGTGGTGTCCGGGCCAACTTTCGCGCACCTCGACTAATTCCACGGGATACAAAAATTACGAACTTCTTAGGATCAACAACACTCCACATATATTATATCTTTTTATTATCATGTCCAACACTAAAATATAGAAGCAGATAGAAATCCTTCATTCGAATCCCGCTGCCACAAAAAAGAAAATAGTTTACGTGATAGGTCCAAGAAAAAGAAATATGTTAGCATGTGAAGGGACATGTTCTATAGAAATAAGTGAATTAAAAAAGCACCCTCCTTTAATATTTCAAACTTTCAAATGAGGTTTTAACACAATTCACCATATAACCCAACAAATACTTTATCAATGTTCCATCAGTTTCCCTAAAAGAACAAAAAAGAAAAGAATATATATCTACCACCTCAAAAAGAAACGAATATGTGTCTAAATGGCTGAATTGTACTCTCTCCATCACATTTTATGTGAAGGTGTTTGACTGGGTATGCAAAAAGACTTTTGACATGTAATCCAAAAATAACCCTTTTAAACGAGTGGTGATGAGAGTTACACATGGATTTTTTTTTCCTTATAAAAGAATGAACTTTAATAATTGGTGGATCCCAACAAGTAATGTCATTAAGGGTAAAAAGAGGATGCTAAAATTAGATACTTTCAAAAAAGAGGACGTCATACTTTTAGGGACATACTACGAAGGAAAGTCTCACATAAAATGGGATAGAGCAACTAATAAAGATCAAATCCACAACGAGAGTATGTCAATCCATGAAAGTCTCTCTTGATAGCTAACAATCAGAATTCTAACTTCTAAGAGCAGTAACTCTGTGTCTCTTAAGAAACACAGAGTTAAAGTTAACATTATCTTTGGTGTGTTCTCTATCAATTGCATATTTGTGTGTTCGTGTCGCCCAACTTTTTATTTATATCTGTGTTCCATCTCTATGATTGTCTTGCTAGGATTTATTATGAGTTCAGTTCCCTTCTCCAGTAAAACCCAGTAAGAGTAATATCCATCTTCGATCAGTACAGTAGAGAATTCGCCAATTCGGTGTGTTTCACCCGTCTTCAACCAGACTTTGACCTTGGCATGTTAAGATCAATATCCAAGTAGCCTCTGTAGTATCACCAATTTGTCAAAACATATTCAGACATCACTGATGGATTGGCAAACCCACCAGACTCACCACCAATACATTGTTTTTCTTCTCACAATGCAGCAACCAGCTTAAATAACCATCGGTTAAGCATTAAATAGGCATTACCTATCCACTGGTGACATATCCGTGACACTCGATTAGCTAATGGCAGTTGAAATGTCGCACCAAACAAGTTTTGAGGAATTCCTTTCTCTTCTCCACTCCTCCACTATTCAGGCCGAACATCTTGTTTGTTGTGTAGCATTCTCCATTTCACATTAATTTGTTCTTGTTATTGCTCCCATATTTGTATGATTGTATCCCCTTTTCAAACTGTTTGGCACGGCTTTATTTAAGCTGAGGATCAATTGGAAATAGTCTCTCTATCTATATGAGGTAGGGGTAAGGTTTGTGTGCACTCTACCCTCCCAGACCTCACTAATGAGATCACACTGGGTATGTTGTTGTTGTTGTTGCTCCTGTGCAGATCACATCTAGCATGGGGACAGCCTAGGTGCTATGTACAATTTCAAGATCTACACCTCTACTCATTTGAAAAGATTTAATTTGTTAAGTCTAGCCAGCATTATAGAAAGGAGGAGGAGATTCTTTCTAGAATAGATATGCGCCTTTATTTCTTGTTGAGTCAGGAATTAAATAAAAAAATACTTGATTCGTCAAAGATATGACTCTTCTTAATGAAGATAGAAGGAATCTCAAAACATTTCGCCAATAACCAACTACACATGAATGTCAGGATTCATGAATTAGAAAATCCTCTATCTAGTACCACTATCATCCCTTGGATACAAGGTAACCACAACAATATTCTAATATGTTTTCAATAAAGATAAGAAAAGTACAAACAAGCAAACAAGAGGTGGGGAAACGGGGTTCTCTTGCTGACAGATATGGAAAACTTGAACAATACTTCCTCAAAGGTCGCACGTAGAATAAATAATATTTTCCTAGTTTACACCTTACTGTTTCAATTTGATAAAACACATTTGGACAATCTCTTTATTATGTAAAATATATGTAAATTGTCCACTAGGAAACCTCTTTTTGCCTATTAATCCCACTGGTGATGAAACTGTGCCACCTGAATAAAGTAGAGAGGACCTTGCAGAGGTGCTTGACGTTTCAAAAAGTTAAGGTGTCAGAGCAGTCTTAAGATGATGGGTACTGGATAGGCTATAGAGAAGAATCGAAATTAATGGTAGTTGGCAACTCTATATAGGTAGTGACTGAAGAAAGAGAGTAACAATCAGATAGTTTTGACTCAAAAAATCATCCTTTGGTGTTGCAGCAATTGGTGCTCACAGTTCATGAAGGTTCTGGAAGATTCATATAGGAGGATAGAAAACTGATGCTTTTGTTATATGGGTAAATTAACGATACCAGATTGTTGATAAAAACTGTATACTCCGGTAATAGAGAGAGAGAGAAAATCCTGCAATTGATGCCCTTAATACGATATTTACAATTTCAGAGATGTGAGCTCACTTAAATTTCATTTACGGATTTCACCAATTTCAGAATAGATTAATCCCCTCCGTTAGTTTCTTCATGCTGATAAATACAGGATTTGTACTTGGAGAAAAAAATTTGTTCTACAGCACTTCCCATGTGATAGAAAAGGATTCCATGATCCTGAAACTCTCTTATCAAGGATCAAAAATCCTAAGTTCATCCAAGATTAGCAAAAAGTTTCTTACAGCTAATGTCTTAATCAAACATGAGTTCAGTTTTTTAATAAAACAACTAATTATTTCTTTGAAGACCAATCATTTACATAGATCATGAAATTTATAAGTTCATTAATCTCTGCATAACAAACATCCAAATGAATCAAATTCACCACAATGAGATAAAGAACTACATAAAAAGAAAAAGCACCCTGACCAACAGGCAACAATGAATGGATGCATAAGGATAGACCATGAACATATCCTTAGGAAACTTATCCAAGATTGGGAATGGGATGAGATGGAGATCTTCTACAGAAAGATAACAACGTTGACATTGTAAAGGACCATGACAGGATGATGTGGAGAAAACTGTTGGTAGAATGTTTTCCAGGATATCGTATCACACAACAAGGTAGGAAACTTTGTGGGAGTGTGTTTGAGGAATAAGGCACCCAAAAGTAGCTTTCTTGGTAAGAGTGCCGCACGGTATACTCCAACAGCACACAACTTGAAGAGAATGGGCTGTCTAAAGTTGAATAGGTGTTGCATGTGCAAGAGGAACAGGGAGGACATGAATCATCTACTCCTTTGTTGTGAATTCACAGTAGTGCTATAGAGTTCAGTGTATTCCTTGTGTTCTTACTTCTGACCAGAAACAGTGGAGAAGACCCTAGTGACATGTAGATTGAACAAAATAGGGAAATAGAACACCCTGAAGAAGTCAATCACCTTTTTCTCCATTGCAAGACCACACCACAGCTGTAGAATTCAATTTTTGCTTTACTTGGAATGTGTCAGACTATGCCTTTCTCTATTCAATAATATTTTATGTGCTGGGAGCCTGGGACCGAATCAGATCACATAAAAAAGGCCTCAAATTTTGGAATACTAGCTGTCTGGTTAGAAGGAAAAAACAGAATTTTTAAAGGCAAAAGGACAAACATTCTTTGCCTTAAGTTTAGAGCCATTATGTTGCTAGCTTTTTTTGGTGCAAACTAGCTTTGTACAGGATACATATGCCTTGTAAGATATGATTGGGGAATTGCACAACTTGTAACTATGTTTTGAAGCACTTGCGTAGTTCTAATTCACTTTTAATACAATACCTTATTACTATAAAAAAAATGTTGAGGAAGTTCGCGCAACTAGCCTGCACATGCATTCTGTGGACGAGGGGAAAAGGAACAGATGAATATCTGATGGAATTGAGAAATAGACATAGAGGATTAAGAGTTTAATATTTCACTTTGGTGTAAAGGAAACGTTCCTACAGTAGTTGGACAGAATTTCTAGAAGCTCAGTGCTAAACACTTGTAATTTTTTTACACTATCTTGATGCATAGTAATGAAAGGACATTCTGATCAAGAAGAGACAATTACCTGGGAACCAGAACCAATGCATGGATCACTTCCCCGTAAACCATCAACAAGTTCAGTATATAGCTGTTCCTTTGGAGTTGCTGCCGGTGCCCCAAAGTATGAGAACTCCACAACATCAACATCACACCAAACACCACCTGGTCCCTGCCCAATTACGAAAGATTCTCAAGCCCAATAGTATTGGTAGAACAGTTAGACTCCAGAAAAGTCAATGAACCAAAGCTGGCCCGGACACCACCGTTATCAAAAGAAACAAAAAGAAGTTAGTGAATCTACTGAACTTCAGTGCATGTTAATGTAATAGATCCTATACCGATTTAGACATGGGATTTTTTACCGTTTGGTGAAAGACTTTTACTACTTAACCTCGTTCCATGAAGAACAAGGACTGTTAGCAGAATAAACACAGATGGGTAATGAAAAAAATTGATAGAAAAGCCTTAATTCATTAGTGTCACCTAAGCAATAAAATCATTACATTAAAACTGTTTATACTAAATGCAAGTACAGGGGTTCCAACAAGATTAAACCTCAAGAAAAGCTGGTAGACATTGGACAAGGTTGAGCCATTGCCTGTGAACTTTTCTGGCAACAAAGACAAGAATAGCTGGTATCTCTGTCAAAGCACCTCGCCGGATACGAAATCCGATTGCTGTACCAAGACTAAAGCGGCGCAAGTTTTTGCTATGAAATGCTCTAATGGTCATAACTTCAAGCAATGTTGTAGCTTGCTGTCCCGTGGGACGTCCCCCCAGGGTTTCAGGTAAAACCCCCTTCTGAAGGTTACCAAAGTAATTGGCCCGGTCCTCAGCAGCATCCAAGCGGCAAGGCCATGAGAAGTAGGCAGCATTGCTCTCGGCGACCTGACAACCTGATGCAAAGGCTTGCAGTGGTGGTGGACTTGACAAAGGAAGTTGGTTGAAATAATTTCTCTCCAAATCCAGGGCTGACTCCTCCGATTGCACAGATCCAGAGTGATTGAATCCTAAATCCAGTCTATCCATATTTTGAACTTTCCAGTCTGGTAATTCATTAAAACATCTGCTTAGCTGCAAAAGCTCCCCCTAATTCAACCTTGAAAGGAAATGTTCTATATGAAGTACTAGTTCCATTAATTCGAATAACCAAAAAAAACGCGAATAAAATAGCATTATAGTTTGACAACAACAGAATTAACCTTACCACATCCATACCGAGGCACCTTATAACATTGTACAAACCAAAGTAATCAATAAGCTGCACCTGGAATTTACATTAACGTGAAGCAGCATTAGCAAGAACAAAAAAGAAAACTCAAAATATCCCAAAATCTACTGAAAGAAAACAACTTGTGCACTTCCATAGAAAGCAAAGATACAATCAGAAACCAACAAGCAACTTTGTAAGCAATAGGTCATATCATATATAGAAATAAATGCACCCTTTATTTTGTTCTCACCTTAGTATGTACCACCACAACTAAGTTAATAAATACAGAAAAATAAATACATAAACAAAGAGAATATCTTACACACATGAAAGATAAAACAACTGAACTGTAAAAACTCTTTAGAACCAAGAAACAAGTCAATATAGAGCAGGAGAAGATCAAGTTAATTCAAGAATGGAATTAAGCAAACCCCATGTCAAGAAAACATATAAAGATCGAATCTTTACAATCAAATTCAAAAGAAACCTCACCTCACCTCACCTCACCTGTCAGCAACAATGAAGTCCCTGAAAAATCCCCAGAAAAAAGTGCCCTAAGAAAGACTTCAAGAACAAGGCCCCCCTCCACACTAATCCACCAAATTAATCCAACAAAATTTCTTCACTCAATTGAATAACCCCATTATTCTAAATCTGCAGTAGAATCACAATCCAATGCTCTATTTGTCTGTGCTTGAGCGCGCGTGCCTATCAGAGTCTCACTCTGTGTGTGTGTGTCAGAAAAGAAAAGGAAAGAAAACAGGAAAAAGTCCAAAAACAAATAGAGATTATATTTGAGAAAATGAAAAAAAAAAGGTATTTTAGCATAGATATACTGGTATTCGAGTTATGAGTATGAAAAAAATCTTGTTAGAAACATTATTTTGAGAAATTCAAGTTATGAGTATGAAAAAAAAATTGTTAAAAGTATTATTCTGAGATTGAAATATAGTCAGACTTCAATATACCAGGTGAAAAATCAAAAAAGAAAAATATATTTTGTCTCTCAATTTATATTGCACAATCAAATTTCAAGAGTTAATAAAAAAATTAAAGTTGTTAATTATTTTTAATTTATAAGTATTAGTAATTTTTATGTAGTTTTAAATTGTACATAAAATTATTTCAAAAATTATAAAGTTTTTATATATACTTTTACAATTAAAATTCATAAATTTAAATCTCGTAATTTTGAGAGTATCATGTATATTGAAACAAATGACTAACTCTATAGTGATGCATAAAGGAACAAGTATTTGTTAATGAGTTAAAGTAAAGGAAAATCTAGTAAAAAAGAAAAAAATTAATAAAGAAAACATAGGTTATTTTCACAAATTAAGTAAAAACATAGATTATCTAGAGTAAGTATTATTTTTCTTTTTGCTATTTTTAGCAAGTGTATCCAGTAACTAAGTAGTATGTATTGATGCAAAAAGTACCATTTGTTAATGAGATTTCTAATTTTTCCCAAAACCCTTTTTTCTATTTTCTTCTTCACTTTTTGCAGTCACTGTCATTCTTTCTTTTCCTTTTCTTTCTACCCTTTTTCATATTTTTTGTTGCCACTCATCATTTGAATAATCACTAAACAACACTTTTCTTTTATAGTTAAAAGTCAATTTAGTGCATAAAATATCTCAAACTACTATTTATGGAAAATAAAATTGTATAGATAAAATATAAATAATATCCTCACACAATTATTATTTAATTTTAATTTATGAAGCATTGTTTGACCTGATATATATATTTTTAAAATAAAAGGTTTTTAAAACTAGTAATTCAAAACACTCCTTAATTATTTGTTTGAGTGTAAAAAAAAAAGAATTTAAAGTGACAAAAGAAAATTATGTCACGTAATTTGTTTTAAAAGTAGAAATTAGTTTTATTGCTCAAAATAATAACGAGACAATAATTATTGTTGAAAGGCTACTATCCTCACAAAATAGCAGCAAATTAAATTAGGCAAGTTACATATTTAACCCATTGATAAAAAAATAATTACATTCACTACTTAAATGTATATTATTGTGTAAAGTGTGTATATTTTATATAAACTACACATTAGTATATATATAAAAATATGTTTTGACTACTATATTATTTTGATGAGTGAATATATTGGATAATAATCCTATTCCTTCTAATAGTAGGTTAAACTTCTTTGTTTATGCATATAGTTTTGCTATTAGTGTTAGATTTTAAGTTAAAAAGGTATTTAATTTTCTAAAGTGTTGAAAGATTCATATCTCACGTCTCAAGTTCTTATGATAGGTTTTTTATATCGAAGTTTTCTTATATATTTTTTTACCTCTTCCTCGAAGAGCTGCCAACCTTTTTATTCTTGTGGTGATTCGAACTCACAATTTTAAAATTAGAAGTAAGAGTTGCTTACTTACCATCCGAGCAATTTATTCTTGTCTGAAAGTTCTTCGTAAACAATAATTACTAGTTTTATTACTATCAAAAGTTAAAATTATGTTCGTCTTGACAAGAACATAATGAAGTTATGATTTCTAGGATACCATTATATTTTAATTTTTTTAATTTTTTTTTTGTGGTATGAAATTAGGGCCCCATCCTTATTTGCCTCCCAAAAGTTGCACACTCACTCATCTAATAATTCAATTCCCAACTTATCAATAAGAGAGGAATGGTGTGGGGGTCTTGTTTAATTTTGTACTCTTCTTTTCCATTCTATCATCAAGAGAGAAAAAAAAAATACTCACTATATATTTTACTTATAAGTATATTGTAGTGGTGATTCTTTTTTGCTTCTCATATTTAGTGACAAGATATATATATATCATTTAACATTGTAATTTTTTTGGTCTTTTCATGAAAAAGGGTAAAAATATCATGATATTTTGTTTGAGGATCCACAAGTGTGACACACTATCTCTCAAATTCAAATATTTATTTCACCATACCTATATTTTTTTTGTACTAGAGATAACATATAATAACAAAAACTAACAAACCATTTAAAATAATATATTAAACTGTAACTCCTTAATTTCAATAATGAGAATTTACTTTTGGTACATACATGAATAAATTGGTCATCTTATAATTGTATTCAAGAATTAACATTAAATCTTTGGGTTGGAAGAATAAAAGGAAAAGGAAATATGAAAATAATATATTTTTGGTTATTCATCCCATGTCTATACTCATATTACTGTCCAACAAAATTTAAATTCACGTAATAAAAAATCTAGCATTAAGAATAAATGCTTCCTAACAAAAATATTTTATGTTAATACATGATTTCATGTCAATTGGTCACAACTCACAACTAAAGATTGTGATAATAGAAATACCCGTCGAAATTATTTTATAGAATTAAGTCTATCCATAAAAAGTGTTAATTGGTCCATTAACTAGTCCTCCTCCTAAAACCCTAATATCATATGTACATACCATTATAGGTGGAAAAGACAAGTTTTTCTATTCCAGATAATAACGGTTAGGGTTTATGACAAAATATCTTTGAGCAAATATAATATCTAAGCCTTGAAAATCAAGAAATTCTTTCGATTATCAATTAACTCAAGTCATGGTTGCTGCAAATTAGCTTTCACTAAAGAGAAATTCACAAATTCAACTTTACTAATGAGAAATTCATAAGTCTTATATATAATATTTTTTTATTTAAATATTATAATATCCTTCATATTTATCAGAGATTTTGAATTGAAACTAATAACAAATGCTATTTTACCCTTATATTATATTATGTATGTGCGACTTCAAATTAATTAATATCAAACACGATTAAGTCTTAATTGGTGGATATACAAAAAGCACTTTATCTTTTTTCACCCTCTATTCTCTCTTAGTACACATGTCCATTAATATGCTACATCCATTATAACCCTTTACAAGGCCTATCTATCACCCATTGTTACTAGTAGACCTACCTTTTTTGACAAAATATATTTCCAATTTCTAGAAGTTTTATACTCTTAGATGAACAGTTTATTAACAATATTTATAGCATATTACTTAATTACTTATTAAATCAAGACAGAATTAAAAAATTTAATTTTACTTCTATAATACGATCTTTGAAAGTTTACACAAATGTTGAAGAGACTAATTGATATGAACAAAGGACAAAATAATAAAGTTGGTCAATTTATTAATAATTTGTTAATTATCGTGTAAAATAAAAAATATCTATCTGATATGAGACGGAGAGTCTCTCTCTACTTCACAGTTTCTCTCTCTAACTCCCTGTCAAGCAGCTGTCACTATCTTTTCATTATCTGATCATCTTTTATCATTTTCATATCTTTATGTATCTTTCAATTATCAAATCATTGATCACTCTCTATTCCTCCAAAATTATATTATACTCCTATAATAATAATACCCCCATAAAGTTTTCCAAAGATTTTATTATTTTTTATATGGTTAAACTATGTATGGTTGCAACTTTCATCATCATGATATTGCAACAGTGGCACAAGAAAATTATCAAAAGCAATGTTTCCCCAAATTGAATTTATTAATATCTATATTACTATTTTTTACTATAATAAAAATAGCTATAAGCAATAATAAATATGTGCATTAATAAAAAGTGTTAAAATCTGTATTATTATTAGATTCATGCTATAAGCTTTAGTGACATTAACAAAGAGTACTAAAATATAATTATGACTGGTAATTGCTTCTAAAAAATATATTTGACGGCAATTACGCTATTGTCGTAGTAACGCTAAAGATCACTTTAGTATAGTATCTATAAGATAGCAGTGATGGAGCTACAGTGTACTCATGTTGTCCAAGTGGACAAATTACATTGTATATACAAGTAAAATGATATACTAAATAGTTAAATAACATAGTTTGGACACCCTTGAAGCAAAGAGGTGTTGTAGCCTAATGGTTTCTAGCGCATGGGGAAAGTTCAAGCTTTAGGGGGGTCGTGAGTTTGAGTCTTAACTTATTTTTAAACATGAATATTAAAATAAAATTTCTAACTCTGTCACGCTAAAATAACGATAAAATCTATATTATACTATTCTTTTCATATCTCACTTGTTGAATTTCACGAAATTTTTGTTGTTGTTGAATTAATTAGTTTGAATTTGTTGTTATGCTATCTTTTTGGCTTTATTAATGTAAGTATTTTAATATTTAATACCATAAAAAGGGTCTGTCAATTTTTTATATGGTCGTCCAACTAAGGTAATCCAAGGACCGTATTATTTTACTTTTATTATTTTTGTTTGTTTGTTTATCATTTGTCTCATTGTCTGCAAAAAAATAATTTTGAAAGTGATGACTTTTATATTAAAGATATATATAGAAGTCGTCTCTCCTTTAATAAATCAATGATTAACCAAATGAAAGAAAATAAATGTATTACGATATGGCCTTTCTGACCACGCAACCTGGGGTCTCTTTTTACAACTTTTTTTTTTAAAAAAATTGGGATATAAAAGTAAATAAAAGAAGGAATATATATTTAAATATAATTTGAAGTTTCAGTTTCACTTCGTTATTACACAATTTTCAATAGTTGGGTAGCTATATTTCCATTGTTTTATTTTAGTTGACTCATATATTAAAAATAAATATTTTATTTGATTTGTTAAATTTAGTAAATTAAGAAAATTTTATGATTTTTCTTATAGTAATCAAATTTAGAATTCTGAATTTTAGAAAAATTACATCTCTGATCAAAGTTTTTTTAAAAAAAAAGGTGTGTCAGGTCAACAAGGATCAAACATTATGAAACGGAGGGAGTAGAATTGAATTAAAGTTGCGCTCTTTTATCTACCGGATAATTGCTCTTAACATTAAATTTTGGATTAAAAATGCTCCTTATTTGGAAGAATTAATGATCAAAAACAAATATCAAAGTATCACATTTTTGTTAGTTTCCAACTCAAACTATTAGGTGAATGTTCACTTTTTCTATTTGAATTATCACCAAAAATATTTATCGAAACACATCTCAACTAATTATTGTTCTCTTTTCCTACCTGGAATATTATCGTGATCATTCTGGTCGGAAAAAGAAACAACTAATTGTTGGTGTGTGTTTTAATAAATAACTAGTGATAGTTTAAGTATGAAAAGTGAACACCTGATAGTTCAATTAGGAAACTCACGAAAACGTTGCAAAGTGAACACCTGATAGTTCAAGTATGAAACGTGAACACCTGATCGCGTAGAAATGAATTGGTCTAGAGGATTTCTACATAAATATATGATTTTACTATCGGATCATTGAATTGAACTAGGAAAGAGCATCATAAGGTGTGCGAGTTGCAAATATTTTTGGAAAATTTGAACTTTGATGAGGATTTACTTTGTACATGATATCAAAATCGAAACGGATTAATTCATGAGGATTAGAAGTAAGTAATTGGCTTTTGTTGATTGAAAATTGATGATAATCATGATGGTTAATGATGCTAAAAATTAGAGCTTTTAACCAAATAGTACCTGATTTTGGCAAAGTTGCTAAGATTATGAAGCCATTAATATTCTCATAATTGGATTGTAATTGGAATTTATTTTCACTGGAAACTAAAGGTAGAACCAATCTTGTTGGACACCAAAATCCTTTGTATTTGTGTAGCAAACGACCATCCCTTATGTGTTATTTTTGGATTTTGTATATGTAAAATTGAGAATCTCTTGTAAAAAGACCATAAAATTAAAAATAAATTTGTAATGAACTATACAAAATCGATCTCAGTCTTGATTGTTGGTCTTAGTTTTTAGTCCCTTAGAACTTTGTTTCTAATTTTATACTCCCTCCGTCTCTTTTTATATGTCATATTTTTACTTTGCACCTGCATTAAGAAATAATGTAACTTTACCCTTGTACCCCTATTATTTTTTTTTGGAACTCAAGTTTTCAATCAATGAATATGAATTAATTTAATTTATTTTGATTAATTAATTTAACCAATGAACATGAATCCTTTACTTAGCTTTCTAAAGTTGGTCAAATGTATATTTTCAAGGTTAATAACTCACAAGGGTAAAAAAGGAACAATATGATAATTTATGCATTGATTTTATAAAATGACAAGTATTATGAACCAACTATTTATAAAAGGGAAAAAGGACAAATATACCCTCGAACTATCGTAAATGGTATGTAGATACCCTCCGTTATACTTTTGGGACATTGGTGCCCCGGCCGTTCAAAAACTAGAGCATATATACCCTTTATAATAACAGACATACACATGTCACAATCCTATCCAACAACCCGACATTTATTAAATATCAGATCAATGGACAAGATTGTGTCACGTGTCCCTATATAGCCTTCCGTTAGAGTGAAGGGCATATATGCTCTAGTTTTTGGACGACAGGGGCACCAATGTACCAAAAGTATGACGGAGGGTATATGTATACCATATACGATAGTTTTGGGGTATATTTGTCCTTTTTCCCTTTATAAAAAGGGATGACATATAAATAGGGACGAAGGAAATTTTTATTTATTTTTAAAAAAAAAAACTAAAAATCCAAAGGGCCAGATTTTATTAATCAAAATAAGAGCAATATACATCAAATGATCAGGCCCAAGTCAGCAGGCTCAATCAATAAAGGAAGGAAAGAAAGAAAACAATAAACAAACAAATAAAGAGAAATTAGAAATGAAAATAATTAAAATCTGGAATTAACAGAACTAAAAGTGGAAAGAGGAAAGTGAAGAGTTGTCCTCTTCAAAACTTCATCCACATCTCCACCATCAATCCACCATTTCACCTCTAACCCGTCCGAAAGCTTGTTCTTCAAGAGGCGAAACTGCTCCAATCATAGACGGAGGAAGTATTTGCTTATAATTAAGAGATCTAAAAATAACACATAAAAATATAAAAAGAAAAAATATTTTATTATATTTAAAATAATAAATGGTCACAGAAGATCATTTCCTCGTTTAAGTTTTATGCCAAAATTGAAAACATCTAATAATTGGATTCAATTTTTTTTTAAAAAAGACAAAGACCCTCTAATTGTTTTGCAGACAAAAATCAATGATTGACCGGCCATTATAAAATGTTAGCAACAACTTCCTTGGAATTTACAATAATTTCTTTTTTTGTCTATAAGGACACAAATTACCACCTAGTCAATTTTATTCTATTTATTACGGTTGTTATTTTCATTTTATATTTTATAAAATTAATCTATTTAATTGGTATTTTAATAAATTGAATCACTTGTATTTTAGTTGAATGTATATGAATTTCAGTCTATTTTTATCTTATAAAAAGTATAAACAAATATGGACAAAATATGAATATTCATATACTAAACTCACTTTTTAGTAAATAGGGGAAAATCTTTTTTTTTTCTTAGGAAAAACATTTTTTGAATCAATAAAAACACACCAATGCATTCCCCATCCCACCCCCATCTCCACTTAACCCCACCTTGTAACTCCCACCTCCCACCTACCCTACCCCACCTCAAGTCAAGGATTGAGTATAGGGTCGGAGACTCGGAGTCGAGGTTGAGAATTAGGTTTTGAGTTGACATCAAGGACAAGAGTCCGATCGTGAGTCGAATTCGAGTCAAGTCAGGTCTAGGATCGAGGTCAGGTTAAGTCTTAGTTCGAGGTCGGATTCTAGTGAAGAGTTGAGTTCTGAGTAACAGTTAGGGTCATATATATATAGGATCCTGAGTTGGGGTTCCGAGGCGGAGCTGAGAGTTGGGTCCTGGGTCTAGATTTAGATATGTTCTTTAGTCGGGATCAGGTCTTAGGTGGGGTCCCAAGTTAGGAGTCGGGTCCCTGAATGATGTCGGGGTCAAATCTCAAATCGGGTCTGGGTGGATTAGGTGGTGAGATTGAAAGAGAGTTTTCAAAACTGTTTTTCTTACTTTAGGTAGGCAAGTCATTTTTCATAAATTTGTAATAGTTCATGACTTTATTATGACCACTCGATGAGGGGTGGATTACTGTTTGACTACGTATAGAGAAAAATAAAGTAGTTTTCTTTGTTGAAACTCAGAGAGAGAAATTTGATTTTACATTATATGATCTCACTAATTATGTAATTTCCTTAAGAAAAAGTGGACAAGATAAAGAAAAAATCAAAACTTTAAGTTTATGAATTTAGTATTTTAAAAAGATAACTCACTAGTTCTAGGTAAATTATCATACACAAGTGATTTCTATAATAGAAATACAGAGTTTCCACTAAATTATTGAATTTTATCAAATCTATAATTAGAATTTTAGCTCTACCTCAATACTGAGATAATGTATATTTCATTAAAGGGATACAATAAGAAGTTTTAGGATTTCAAATTGTAATTTAGGTACGCAACTACACATATATATCAAATGTGTAAAATGATTGATAGTAAGGTTTTGATATTTCTTCTAAAACTGTGTTTTTTAGACAAGTCTATGATTCCTGTCCATAAAAAAAAATGATTCCTGTCCATCCAATTTTTATGTGATCCTAAATATATCTATTTTAAAATTTGTTGTACATAAATAGCAAGTAGAAGGAACTATTGAAATAATAATTGAAAGTGTAATTTTCTTGCAGAAGACGTCGTATCAAAAACTTTGGATCTTGCCATTATTAATAAAAATGAATTTGAACTTGTCAAACTTGTGATAGTTATATAAAGCAGTAATGTATGATAGGGAGCTAGTAGGACTACTCATGATAAATACATTTTGGGATTTTTTTTGTGTGGTTGAACAAACCAACCACTCACCTTTTTGATGAGTGATTCACCTAACGTATCATGTGCACATCATCATCTTCAAAAATCAAAAGATTGTCAACTTAAAAACTTGACCGGGGAATATTGACTCAACTCATATTTGTCACAACCTAAGTTCATGACACGTATTGTCTGCTTTGGACCTAGGCCCACATGAATTTGTCTGTCAGATTAGGCCACATCAACCCTCAAATACCATGTGAACCCAAACTATGCCCCAAATACTATTTGTCCTTACAGATGAGGTGGACACATCTGTAGAGGTTTACTAGCCTAGAAGTTTGCTAGTCCGTTTAACTCATCCACATCAGCCCGCCCTGTGGCACGGTGTCACCTAACCCATGTTTTAGTTGATGCATATTGCACAAACTAATGTGTTTCCCATATATATGAATATTCATGAATTTTATCCTCTTATAAAGATTTATGTTACGTCACCCAAAAACTAATATTTTAGAAGTAACTTGATTTCAAACATGTTATCAGATTGATCATGTTATAACAATTTGTTTCTTTTCAAGACTTGAGTTTGTTAATTTTCCCTTAATCTTCAAATTCAAGATTGATTTCCTTAAATGCAACAAGGACAAACAAAACAAAACAAAACAAGTGTAATCCGGCAAGTGAGGTCTGGTGAGGGTAGTGTGTACGTAGACCTTATCCCTACATTAAGGAGCTACATGATCAATAGTAAACGTAGCAGCAAACACGTGACGCATTTAACTTCTTGCTTTAACAGAAAACTAGCACAACTTACATCTCTTATTTAGTAGATAATTCAACACTGCATAAAACTGAGATTCATGAGAAACTACAAGTTGTAGCAACTCTACAGAAACACTTTTAGGATGAACAAACGGTAAATATAGCAGAAGCTCTTGTTTCAACTCCTTGCTTTACAAAAAAACTAGTACAACTTCCATCTCTTATTATTAGATAATTTTACGCTGTAAAAAGCCAAAGATTGAGGCAGCATCAGTATAGCAACTCCACATACTCCTTAAATCTTAAGAGGTGAACAGGATGACCGGAGTTTGAAATGCATGCCCAGATTATGTACCATTCCTACTTAGAAAACTTCTCTCGATCATGTGGAGAGGAATAGTCGATATTTGGACCCTGGGGAATGATTCCAAAAGGATTGATGCCAGGATGGCTCCCATAGTAATGTTTTTTGATGTGTTCCATGTTGACAGTACTGCTCATGCCGGGTATTTGGAAAATATCTTTGGTGTAATTAAACAGATTTGGATATTCACGTAGTAACTTCTTATTGCACTTGAAGTGGACAGCATACACCTGTAATTATCAAACACCACTTGGATCAACACACGAAGAAAGGGATGAACGCCCAACATCAGTTAATTTGGCCACAGTAAAGTATTTGCCCCATGCTCATGCAGTCATAAAATTTATATTCAGAGACAAACTTCTCAACGCGTATTCTGAATGTTCTTTATAAACATTTTATAGAAAAGAGATCTGTTTTATTATGTTCTCTCTGTGGCGAAGTCATTAATCATACACGAGATGAGTGAGGTCCTTTGTCCCGTCTCATTGTCTCATTGTCATAACAAAGCTAGTCTCATTGTCTCAGACATAAAACTTAACAGGAAATAACTCAAACATAAAACTTGTCTTTCTCATACACAACACTAGTATCAATCTTCTATTTCAATCTCCCTATAGCATGCCATTCTTTTGAAAGACCGAGCCTAGATTTCTGAATTTTCAGCATAGATATTACAATTCCGTCTAATTTCACTTCACTTTCATCATTATTATAGAGCATATGCTTGCAGTGTATATGTTCTCACTTACTGCTCCGTACTACTTAGTTCCACCTTCTAATTGACCAATAGCAAGTATTGTCAATTTAACACTAAATAGCATTTACATGAAACTTCAATTTCTATATTATTGGTTAGCTCTTCCATAATTTGGATAAACAAGTATCGGCTCAACACAAGTCCCCGGTATAAACTAAGGGCTATGAGAAATCCATGGTTATCTCCATATGAATGATGAAACAATCCGACAACCTAACCTAAGGGTTTAAATGTTTTAGTCTAACACTAAGCCTTTAATTGAAGCTCTTAATTTTTTGGTTAGCTTACGAGTCAAAGGGAGCCTCTGACTTAGCTAGGTGAATTTATGTAATAATGAATTTATGTCTGGAAATCTTGAGTCCTCTCTTAGTGAATGCTAGACACAATTCCTAAGGAATGGGAGATCCTTTTTCAGACCACTGTAAAGGCCTATCGTTTAATCACTTTCCAAGACCTTACCATATGACTACTTGACAGATACATGTCTCGTCTTCTACAGCAGGGTTACAATGTGAGGTGATCAGTGATCTAGTGGTTTTTTTGATCATATAATGGACTTCCGAACGGTTCAGATTTTTGGGAAGGATGCACTGATGTGATTTGCTCATTATGAAGGGGATGACTTCCACACTAACAAATTTGGAAGTTGCAGTAGAAAGGAGGAATCCAAAGCTTTAGCATTTACAGTCCATGAGCATAAATTCAGAGGACTAATATATTGAAATCTTTTATTCTCTGTTTCCTTCTTGGTGGAAAGAATTGTTCTATCGAAGATTAATAATTTCATTACAGCTACTAATTCTTTTCAGACTAATGCAAGGGCAATACTATTTGAAGGCCTGTTTTCGAACAACTAGTGTGACTACTTGACAAACATCTGGCTACTCTTTCACAGATAAGTTGCAGTGATGAGAAGATTAACTGGTTTTAGTGATTAATTATCAATGCACTTCAGGGAGGGTAAGTCCTGAAGTAGCACACTATAAGGGGAAGACTGCCACATTAATAAATTTTGAAGTTGTAGGAAAAAGAAGTGTATGAAGCTTTAGCATTTTCAAACAACTCCAGGCTAAATTTGGAATGATTATTACTCCATCTTTCTGTAGTGTTGCTGTCTCTTCGAACATATCGGATTAAACTACATAGCTCATGCCAATTGATCACTAATGACAATGCAGTGATAATACCAGACACAAAACAATATGCATAAAAGCAATCTCCTTCCTTAATATCCCCTCCGAATTTTCCCTTTTGGTATATTTCTTGTTTTTTAATTCCAAAGGGTACCTGCTATCTCCCACCATAGGTACCGAGTAAACTCTGTCCACCAAAGCCCAGACAAATAGGAAGAAATCACCAAGCGGTTTTGCCCCCTCTGGGATTTGAACCTAAGACCTCGTGATTTTCAACCCACTATATTGACTACTAGACCACATCCTTGGATGCCTCCTTTGGTAATATTTCTAAGACAATAATTTAGTTTTGACCATAAGGGAACATTCACTTACCTCATCAAACCTAATCAGGGTGACAAACAAGCGAATATCTGCTTCAGTCACTTGATCTCCACATATGTATCTCTGCTTGCTCAGTATCTCCTCACATTTGTCCAAAGCTTTGTATACTTTTTGCACCGCCTGCAAGGACAGAAAGGTAATCACTTTTCCTCGGATAGAACTGATTGAAAGTCTTTAAGGTTTAAGATGTTTAGCAAATGGCTCCTTCGAGTTCTGTAGTCTCTTTGTGATTACCTCATCATAAGGCTCTTGCTTCTTTGCAAAACCACATTGATATACTCCATTGTTTATTCCATCATATATCCAGTCATTTGTTTCATTGATTTGGGATTGCAAATGAGGAGGATAAAGGTCCAAAGCTGCATTCTCAGCTATATCATTAAATTCACTATTAAACATGCGTATTATTTCTGCACTCTCATTGTTCACGACTGTCTTCAGTTTCTTATCCCAAAGAACCTATTAGAGAAAAACCAGACCATCAATCAACAAAAATATGAACAGAGCAAACAAATAAATTTACTAAAGATTCTAATTATTGATAAACAATACCGGAACGGTGTATTTCCCAGAATAGTTTGTACTTGCAAGTTCATACAGCTCCCTTATGCTTTTGGCTCCATTAATAGGATCAAGATCAGCTCCTGCTTCCTCAGTGCTTGATGAAGCAAAAACCCATCCCATGTGCTCATCGCTGTCCTTCGTCCTCTCCCAAATAGGTTTAACAGACTGCAAGCCAAACGCAAAGGAAAGAGATCGTTAGGGGTCCAAACTTGAGTCCAAGATACAAGTTCATTCAACTTCTTACTGTGAAATCAATGGCTTGGTCAAGGCCTTTAATCTTCAAGTAAGCCAGGCACCTTGATGCCCACGGGCAAGCATATGATATGTAGAGGTGGTACCTCCCAGATTCCACTGGAAAAACGGAGCTGGGGTCCCTTGAGACTATATTACGGAAGGTTGAAGCAGTTCTCTCAAAAGCACCCGTTGCTGACATCTCATCCAGAGCGGAACGAGCCATTCGTATACTTTGCTGGAAGTGACCAGTAAGTTCAGAGAGTTAGTATAATCACTCATCCTCTTTCACCAGAATCATAATTGAACATGATACTACATCTCAAGAAGATGTCATTTTTTCAACAAAACACGCGCTACGTTCACTAAAATATTTAGAGAAAATGTAAATGATGCAGTCAATATATCCAATTGAATAATACTAACATATGCACCATGTTCCTGTTTGTACAGAGAAATATACCTACTGTGTAGAAAATAGACAATACAGTTTCCGTTTCGTTATATTAGTTACAGCATTGCTTGTTGTATTTATCTTTTCTGTTTCGAAAAATTCCTTCTCATTCTTGCTCAGAGCCTCAGACACATTTCTTTGTTCATCACATGAACTAATAATCTGGCAAAACACTATAAATTCAGAATCCCAATTCCCTTTCTTATCCTTTTCTCTTTATGAGACCCTGCTCAAATTGCTGAAAAAGGGCACCAAGAAATTCGAGTTGATTTCTAAGATGGTCATTCAAATAATAGTTATTATCTTAGAAAAGGTAACTTTCTGAGATAATAAACTATAACTAGTGGCCATATGAGAAATCAACCTCAAGAAACTCAAAAACAGTAAACCCTACCAGACTCTTCACAAAATAAACAATCAGCTAAAGCTCTGAACCAAAATCACACGAGGAATCTTAGTAGCTTAGTTGATTGACTACCTGAACTTCCTCCTCGAGGGTTCGACTCCCCCATTTCCCCTTCCCCTACACACATTTTTTTTAAGTACCAGAATCACAAGTTATACAAAAGAACATAAAAATCCATTATTTCTTCATTTTTCTTGATCACCATACAAACCTATCTAAGACTAGTAAACCACAAACTCAAGAATTCCTTTAAGATCATGAATTAGCCATCTTGTATAAAAAGTTTCAAAAATCACAAAACCCTCAAACACAGAGAAGAAAAGCAGAAACACCCCCTTCCCCCATAACTCCAATCAACACATATTAAAGTGCATATAAACACATATACCCCATATGGGGGTAGCAGCTGGAAAAATGATAAGAACTGAAATGAACTTAATTTACCTTGAAAGAAAGCTGTTGGAATACACAAGTGTGCCTCAGTGTTTGTAGTTGGATTGATCTGTTTATAAAAGGAAAATTCATACTTATATATAGATGAAAAATGATCAAATAAAAATTGCAAAGTACTACCTGTTAGTCTATTTTATTGCTAATTATTGTTGATACTATGAATCTTGAAAATTGGCACTTTAGTCATGATCTTGTCTCTATACATTCATAGAGAGTAATAAGTGGGAAAATGTTATGTTGTTTTTGTTCTTTTTCTCTTGGTTGGTGACATAATTTCTAGTATTATTTTTTTCTCTTTTTGGACCAAGGATTGGAAATATTAATCTTTTGCCAAAATGGGTATTACTAATGCATTTTTTTCTCTTTTTGGACCAAGGATTGGAAATATTAATCTTTTGCCAAAATGGGTATTACTAGCATTTGAAGGTAGATTGTGGATCAAAATTTAAAAAATTTGGTCATAAAATTTTGATCAGATTTTGAAAATTTATCTTCAAAAATTTTCAAGTTGGTTTCCCATTTAGTGTGCATGAGAATCCGATTAAATTTAAATTTGTGCTGGAAAGCCTCACATCGACCATAAAATGATATGACTCCGTATTTTGAAATGCTTGAATCTATCATCTCCGATTAAGAATGAAGAGTATTTTGTTTCGCATATAAAATTTTATTTTGAGAAGTTATTTAATCATCTTTCGACTAATTTTGAAGAATGAGTAGACTTGACTTTGAAAGTTTTACTAGGGTGTTTTGAAATTCGTATTTTTAGTAAAAAAGAATTAATTTCTTAGCAAACTTGAAATCATAAATATATTTCTTTGTTTATTGAGTTTGGTCAAATTTGATGGCAAATTTAGTTGGTGATAATTAAATAAATAATGATGTGTGGCAAATGTATGATGACGTAATGGAGTATGTATTAAGTTAGACAAAAGCTATAGAATACCAAAGTTTTATTTTGCTTTATATGGCACATCATTAGTGATCACATGCTTTGTTTAATTACCACTATCATCTCATTTTGTCCTATAGTGTTTTAGTAATACATCGTTATATTGAGGATTTAGTAAAATAATATCTTATCTCACAAAAATAAGATAAATTTGTGTACAAGCATTCTCAAGTTCTCAGCCAATTTAATTAGCCTTCTTTACTATAGACATAAAGTCTTCTTATAGTTTTTTTGTATCGTCTAATTTATCTTGACCATGATTTGCAATTATTAACTTTCAGATGAAGCCTTTGATATTTTGTCCCAACAATATTTTCCCAAGTGAAGGTCAAAGATCAAGCCTCCTCTCGTCGAAAAAGTGATACATGGTGTTCTTAACAGTACCAAAAAGGAAGAATGAAATGAATAAAGATAAAACAATACAACATTCGTAAGGCAATGTAATGATACCTTTTATATACATTCCAAGTACCTTTTGCCTAACAATTTTCCCAGTATGATGATTGAGAGGCTCAACTAGTTTTGAATTTTTCATTTACGACATACAATTGATAGTCACCAATCTTGGTAAAATGCTTGTTCCCAAACTCGGTGAGAGACGGAGAAAGAACTTATGGTTGGATTGTCAGTTAAGAAATGGAGGCAAGATTGAGATCCATGATACCTAAATAGCTTGAACATGCTATGGATTGTTGGACTGGAGACGTTTCATGTGTTGACAAATGCGGTGGCAGTTTGATGTTGCCTGCAATGCATACCACCTCTGTCAACAAAAATGTGGTAATGTGCAATCTCAAGAATCTGCAATGACGACACCAGAGGACTTTCTCTAACCATGATCTTGCGGAAGAGGTTTATGCATCAAAATTTAAATGACGAGAAACCAAAACCACAATCTGTACAAGCAGCTATACGGTCCTGGATCTCCTTCCATTGCATATGAGTAGACAGCTTCATAGTGAGCTAGCCAACATCTTCGTACGTTAAAAAGAAGGGAAGTACTAATGTGATTGCTATTTGCTGTCAAATAACTGTACCCTAATCAATCTCTCCCGCTGTATAATAGTTTTTTGACAACTTTTGTCCTCATCTCCCAATCTTGTCTGAACAATGATTGTGTGAATATTAAAGGAAAAGAAAGATACCTGATTTTCCTACTGTGAACATTTCTGTAATTGTCAACTTCCTTTTAATATCAAGGGAGGTTTGTAAGAGCTTCTCTTTCAAGCACGTCATTGCTGTAAAGAATTCCATTCAACAACTTGCCCTGGAAAAGAATCTTCCTCAGCTTGGCCATTTGCGTCAACGCAAGATCTACAAGATAAAAAACAAATAGACATGACAAATCAGATTAGGACTGTTGGAGCTGGGTTTCATTTCTTTAAGCACAATCCAGTTGGGCAAAAATTGCAGCAGCATGGTATGTCCCACTTTTCTACATTTTATTGTTTACAATACAAGTTGGAGTATTCAGTATTAAGACTAATTTATTTTTTATCAACTGATTTTACTACTTCATTTCTCTTCACATTGACCTAAAAACTCAGCAGGCACTGCATCAAGCCATTTCAATTGTAAGTCTGTCAAGTTCAAACTAGGCAAAGGTGAAACAGAACGGTACACATCCTGGCACCAACACTCTAAATGAAAAACCGAGTGTAAGCTTGGCGAAGATAGTTCCACATATTGCTTTCAGATCTGATCCAGTGTTTTCACATCTTATCATACTGCTCACATTGTCTTAGTGTTTTTGGTTTTTCCAAGGAACTGTTCTAATGTGTAGCTGTAAATATTTAGCACCATCTTAGTGCTTCCCTCATTTTAATGAAATGTTACTACTGATAAGAGAAAAACATAGTTTAACCTAACTAACTATGGCTTTTTCTTGAAAAAACCAAAAACACGATTTCAGGAACATCAAATCGATTTAAGGGAAACAACACTATATCCAACAGTGTACACTGCAGAAGAGGGTCCTCTACAAACTACATTAGAATAACTAAATTATTAACATGACAATGCATAAGAAGGAAGAGTAGAGGTCACCATTCCACAGGCAGCTAGTTTCCACATAGCCCAAACAATAGAGACTTTTGAGAAAGCTACACGCTTCTGTTCAAATCAGTAAATTAACCCAGCGCTTGCTTCTTACTTTTGGCATTACCCAAATCAAGAAGTAGTGTGAGGGGACAGCTTTAATGCTCTATCTGCAAATATCAGCATTGCTGAATTACATGTACTGAAGATAAAAAAAATTAAGTGTTTGAAATGCCAAAGTAAAAGCGGAGTAGGTAAGGTTAAATCCCAATGTCATATTAAAAAGGTGAAAATGGTTTCTCCTGTATTTCTTTTCATAAGCATGCTCAATTAGAGTGAACACTGAACAGCACAAACTTGCTCAAAAATAAGATTTCTTTTGCTCCCTCCACCAAAATGACTTGGCATCCTTTCTAAATCAGTTAGTCCCAAATTACTTGACATCATTCTGTCAATGACTCAACACCAAATCTCCATAAAGTCAAGCTGATATAGACTAATATCCCTCTGTCCGAATGAATGATGTGACGTGAAGTAGGAGAGTCAACCGCCCAATATTCAAGTTGAATTTTTCATTTTTACGAACTAAAGATAGCATATGGAAAACCTAAATGAATAAAAAGTTTATATAGCTATAAAATCACAATAGAAGAACTCATATTGTATAAAAAAATAACAAACTACTTTTACTATATTAATTCGAATTTTCATTTGACATTTTTCCCAGGTGAACTCTAATTATTACTACATATATTCACGCAACTGAAAAATAACAATATGTTCAAAAAATCTGTTTCTCAAAAACATTGCGACAATGAAGTTAGATTATCAAATTGGATGGTAGATGAGTAGAGCATAATTTTAGTTTTCTTTTAGGTTTCCGTTGAAAAGATGATTCCACTAAGTAGTGTTCTGAAATTCCCATAAGAAACAAAAACATTTGAAGCCTTACAACAATTAGCAAAAGAATGCTACCAGTACCTTTTCTATCACAATAGCTTAGGAGAACCATTATTCAAGAAACACGCAATTTAAAAGATAGAAATGGTAACTAGAAGAATCAAGGAACTAAAATGATACCACATGATGGATGGTGGAAGGATCTTTTCATTATAGGCTCTCTAAATTCTTGCTGTTGTGTTGATTAAATCTAATCTGACATAGATTAGTGCAGAAAATTGATCCTCATTTATGGGAATTACAGAGAGATTCTAACCTTAAAGAGGATAAATCAATCATTTTAACTTGCTACTTGCACACCTGCCAAATAGCCTTTTGGTTGTTGTACAGTAAATCACAAGGTCACTCTACCGTAGATTCTCCTGGGTAAGTGAAAATCACAATTAATATGCTGAATATAAACAAAATCAATTCAAAATAAAAAGTTTTAGCATGAAAAGAGGCCAAAATAATTGCAATACTAATGCAAAGAGTGCAAGTAATTTGGCACCCACATAAAGCAAGGCACCCCAAGAATATGGACAGCAAAACAAGTGAAATAAAAAGCATACGGGTCTTACCAAAATCTTTTGTTATCCTCTCATTCATACTGGAGACAAGGTCATAGTTATTGCTTTCATAGCACGCCGACATAAATGCTGCAAGGGTTACTCGATCCACACTCTGCTGTTTGTCTAGCAGTTTATGGAAAAATAGAGCAGCTACATCCACATTCTTTTCACTGCAAAGCTTCCTGACTAGGGTAGATACGGTTCGAATCCAAAGTTTTTTTTCTAATCTATCTAAGAGGCCCATCGCGATGGTTGGTTCATTGTTCTTGCAATACTCATAAGCTACAGTCAGCCGTGTAACTTCACATGGGAGAATACCTTTATCAACCATTGAATTGTAAAGGTCTCTAGCCTCATCCAACTTTGACTCCTTACAAAGCCCACTAATCAAAGCACCATAAGTGAGGCTATCAGGTACACAACCATATTCTCCCATCCTCTGGAAGTACTTCTTGGCCATGGCCACATTTTTATCTCTACAATATCCACATATCATGGAAGTACAAGTCTCTTTGGTAGGTATCAAACCTAAAATTACAGCATCATCAAAGAGCTTTTCACTGTCTTTCATTTTCTTTTGCCTACACAAGGCAGCAATTAATGTGGTGTATGTATGCATATCAGGGCTGATACCAGCTTTAACCATCTTGCTGAAAAGAGCAAAAGCTTGTCCATTATCTCCTAGTTTGCAGCTCTGAGACATTAGAATGGTGTAAGTCACTAAATCTGGCGAAATTCCAATTTGCATACCTTTCTTCAGCATCTGATAAGCCTCTTGAACCCTTCCCTTTTTACACAGGCCATCAATGACCGCGTTATACGTAAAAATGCTTGGCGCCAAGCCTTTTTCATCCATCACACGCAATAATTTATATGCAACATCAAAGTTTCCTACTTTACAGTACCCATCAATGAGAGCAGTGTAGGTGTTGGCATTAGGGACCAACTCTTGTTCTTGCATTCTGCTCAGAAGCATCTCTGCTCGATTCAATTTTTCCTGTTTGCAGTATCCAGCTATCATGGCTGTATATGTATGCACATTAGGCTTGTAATTGTCACTCTTCACAAGTTTTAAGAATAGTCTAAAAGCCTTATCCATCCAGCCTTTCTTACAAAGACCATCAATCAATACAGTATGAGTGAAAACATTTGGTTTCAAACCTTTTCTAACCATTTCCTCTAACAACTCGAACGCATGCTTAATAATGCCTTTCTTACACAATCCATTTATCAAACACGTATAATTGATAACATTTGGAGCCAACCCCAATTCAATCAGTTTATTAAAAATCCACAACACTCTATTAACAGACCCCTTATCACAGAAAACACTCATTATTAAAGTGCAAGTCGCATTATCAACAAGAAACCCCCTTTCTAGCATTGCACTCAGCCACCTATCAGCCTCTACAACTCTTCCCATCCTGCAATAAGCAACAACCATAGACTCGAAACAAAATGAATCAGGACACACCCCTCTGTCACACATTTCACCAAACACCTTCTCTGCCATCTCAACATGCCCCATCTCAGTAGCAACACTAACAACAGAATTCAAACTCCCAGCATTCAAAACCAAACCTTGATTTTGCATCTCAAAAACCATATCTACAGCCTCCTTTAACATACCAACTTCACAAAAATTCCTCAACATAAAATGCATCACTTCATGGGTTCTCTCAAAGTTTCCATTTTTAATCAAATAAATAGCTAAAACAATATAAAGCCTCATAAAATGCCTGAATTTCACATACCCAATTGCCCAATAAAAGAAACTCAATGCCAGCATGGACCCTCCCTCATCTGCAAGAGAAGCAACAACAGTTATAGCCTGTTCTTGAGTCAAATACTCAGAATCTATAGGCAATTTCAACTTGGGATGTCTAGATTTGAAATGGGTATTTTCTTGAACTTTACAATATGATTCAGATACTAAAGAACAGACCCTTTTGACAACTGAATCAAAATCAGAAGACAATGGGTTTGTTGTAAAAGAACTGAATTGGGTATAGCGCCAAAAGGGGTTACTATTAAAGTTGAAGAAATGGTAAGGATGGGAGAAAAGGATGCCATTGAGGAGTGTGGTAGAAGCTGTAAAATGGTGAAGTCTGTAGAGACGATGAAATGTAAAGGAAATCATGAAAATTGCTTTACTTTGAGAGATTGTTGGAACAACAGATTCAAATTTCAATAGCGCAAATTAGATGTTGCAACGTTCGCTTCGCGCTGAGCATGCGCCGAAAATCGAGGACACAACAGGGCGCGATACATAGAGTGTTTGGATTTATTTATTGTTTCCACCGCGTCTCATAGCCACATTGGAGCTTGATTAAATTTGGATTAGTATTGGAAAGTCACACATTGCAGGTAAAACATCTCTTGATGGTTGTTTGTAGGGGTGTTTCACTGGACGGTTTGAATCGGTTATTGGTCAAAATTAAAACCAAACCCAAACCAACTTAATCGATTTTAAAATTATCAAAACCAAACCAAACCAAACCAAATATAGTATATATTTATCGGTTTCGATTCGGTTTGATTTGGTTATTCGGTTATTAGCTATAGACAAAAATAAAATAAACAATTCATTCAAAACGTGAAAAAAGTGACAACAATCCATTTAAAACGAAAATAGTTAGAATGACTGACATTAAAAAACTTTCAATAATTGAATTTACTATGAATAAAACTTCAAAATTCATTATTTTGTCCTAGAAGAAAAAGACAGTGATATTTTTAATCTTATAAATAATTGTCATAGACACACTCATATACATAAAACCAATAAAAAAAATATTCTCACCTTACACATTTTTTCTTTCATAAGTAAATTATAAATAAATTTTGATGAAAACACATATAAGATCTTTAAAGTTGTTTATAAAAATAATATATTATGTATGTATGATAATAAATATATGTATATAATTCGTCGGTTCGGTTTGGTTATTTCTTTGATTTTTTTCGAAAAAACCATAACCAATCCATATATTATCGATTTTCAAAAATCTAAAACCAAACCAAACCACACCTAATCCAAATAAAAATCAATTTATTTAATCAGCTTGGTTCAGTTTTTCGGTTTGAATCGATTTTTATCCAAATCGTGAACATCCCTAGTTGTTTGGATGATTGTTAGGTATTGTTTCATAATGTGTTGTATTGTATTGTAATTTCTAGGTATAACATGTCTTGTTTTAATGAATACAATATCCTAATAGATTGTATCGTTCTTTGTATTATATAATGTCACACGTATGGGACTTTCTGTCGTTACCTAATGATGGATTTAAACGATATGATACACTAAGATTTAAGTAATAATCAAAACATGCATAATAAGTGTCACCTTATAAATTCAACAAAAAATTAGTATTATGTTTTTATAACTATACCCTTATACTCCATCTATTTAATAATATTGATTTGACATGGCTTTGACTAAAGTAATATATTTTTGGAAAAATTGTATGAAATAACAAATTATTAATTCAAATTAAATGTTATACCATAATTTATTTCAATTATAATTTAAAATGTTCTTTGTATCTAATATACACGAAAGATATGAAATAACTCAACTATCGTATAATTTAGATATGTAATTATTAATATCAAAATAGCGCGCTTAGATGCGTTTTTCCATATCCCAAGATCAAAACATATCTAACTTTTAGCTTCTTAGATGTGTGATATTCTTTTGGGTTGGGCTGGGCGAAGTGCAGTATATAAATTGAAGTTGCCAAAATTCGCATATGAAGTTTAATAATACGAACTTTCAATATTTTTGCATAAAATTGTAGAATTATAAAAAAAAAGAAAAAAAATTAGATATCTGAACTTCAGTCATACACACTTTCGACATAAATATTTGAAGTTAAGTTTGTCTTTATATTATTTATAGTAGTAATAAGTTAGTTATATCACAAAATCTTTTATCAACTACTTACAATTTTTTGTTATATTAATCATAATATAACAAAACTTTGCATGTGAACTTTGAAAATTTTATGTTCGAGTACATGCATTGTATGAGTTAAAATGGTAATTATTAAACATGTCGGCCAATTTAGGTATTGATTTGTGAATAAAGAATACATTGATTCCTTAGATTAATATTACTAATTGACTATCCTATCTACACTACCCTAAGATTCTTGATTATTTTATATATTTTTTGATGGAAATGTTAGTAAATATTTTAGCCAAAAAGCTATATGGATTCCTAATGTTAAATTAAAAGTAACATCATTTTTTCTTCTCTGATTGTGATTTGTGACATAAATCATGGGATGCTTTAGGAGGGGTGGAAAATTGTCTTTATCTTGCAAAGATTATTCAGGCTCGTTAGTGCGCATATTGTAGTATTAGTCGTATCTTTGTATAGTTCTTATCATATGTTATTTATTGTGTTTTCAATTATCACATTATTTTGTTGTTGTTATTATTTCTGTTTCGTAGACTTTACACTGCTGTTCTTATTAATGGTTATGTTTTCTTCATTGTTTTCTTCTTCTTTTACTTGATTTTGATGCACTTGAGCCGATGATCTATCGGAAATAACTATTCTATTTCTACCTCCATGAGATAGTGGTAAGGTCTGCGTATACTCTACATTTTCTAGACTCAACTTAGTAGATTTCACCGGATATGTTGTATGTGTAATATTAATTGTTCTTATTTTATTCACGATGTTAATTAATTGCTTCACATTCTTATAATTTTATGATTTTTGTGACATAAAATTCATGGCATGATTTATTATAGATACCTTGCTATAACTATTGGTGTACGTGTACTGTTAATTGTTCTTATTGTATTCATGCTGTTAATTCGTGGCATTCTTATAATTTTAGGATTATATCCCGATAGAAGAAACCAAAAATGGTTTAATCGTCAAATTATTAGTACTTTCCTTCGATTTATAAATATTTTATGTGTTTAAATTTTATGCACCGATATTATAAAGATTGTTTATGCCATCAATGTAAATTAACGTGTTATAATAGGTTATTTAGTAGTATTGGTTACTAGTCTTTGCGTATTAAATGGTAGCCATCTATAATTACAATTAACTTAATAATGTCAGAATTATTTACGGCGCATACTACTTAACTCTATATTTGCAGTATATCATTATTATTTATTTATTATTAATACAAAAAACTCTCTTTTGTAAATTCATTCCTCGAATGATCATCTTTTCACTCATCATAAAAAAGGGATTTTTTTTCGATGTCTAAAGTCATCATAGAAAGTAAAAAGTCGTTACAAAAGTTATCTTTTATTGTCACAAATAAATAAATTAAAAGATCATCAAAAAAGTATACACAAAAGTGTTCACATGATTTAGTTTGAATACCTCTAATATTCTTTGTAATAATCTCTTGGAGGACGAAAACAATAACGGAGTTAGAATTTTTACTAAAACATTTAAAATATAAAAAATAGACATAGAAAAAGTCAAAAAGAATTTAATATCTATTAAATAGACATTACTTTTATTTAACACCCTGAGACTCTGCCGCTAGTTTAAGAGCTTTTATGCAATAAACAATTGAAGGTTATGATTGTTCTCCAAAGTGAAAAGTTCAACTTTTTTGGATTAGTGATAGATGGTCAAAATTAGGGAAAAATTAAGTGAAAATGGTGATTTAATCTTTAATACTAATTGACAATTGCCTCAGTAGAAAATAGAAATATGTGAGCAATATAATTAATTAATGCATGTTACCCCATGATTCAAGTGTGAAGATGACATTTCTCCTAGGATGGGGGAAACAAATTGTCAAAGATGTTGACAAAGAAATAATGACTATATATAAATAAGGCAAAATGAAAAAGAAAAAGGGTATCACATGCTTGCTTTAACACAGTGACATTCATCATTTTGTTTTATTTTTACACATTAAATTGATTTTTACTCAAAATTTTGGTTTATGTTTTAGTAGAAAATATGGAGTAACCCTTTATTGATTGAAAAAGAAAGATTATAGTTAATTTCTCAGATAATCACTCAACTAATAGTTATTATTTCAAAAAGTCATTTTCTTTATGAAGAAGTATGACTCGACAGGTTAAGTTGAAAGAGAGATATATGAGCCATATAATAGATAAAAAGGGACGATTGTTAAAACAAGTTTAAAGTTAGTCATGATAATATATGAAAAAAAATATGAGGATTTAATTCGAGATATTAAGGTAACATGTGGAGTAGTCTAGAAACCGTGTAAGTCTGTGTGAAATTTGTATACAATCAAGATATGTAGTCTGTAGAGTTTTTAACAATTAAGATGTCGATGATTCGAGCTTGGGAACGGAGAAATCTTACGTAGGGAACTCTAGCCCCTTTTACAAACTCTATGTGACACTAATATATAGATTAGTCGAACCAGTGAATTTTGAATACCAGATGAGGGGTTGGTGAAGGGAGTCAGTGGTAGACCACTTTTGAGTAAATTGTAAACAAATGTTCTTTAACAGATCCCAATGTTTTACCAGAATTGGTATAAATACTGGCACAAAATACATTAGAAGGTTGGTTAATTAAACAGACAGGGTCCAACTACTATTTCTTTAGTCATTATAGATGGAATAAAGAAAAAGAGGTAGTAACATGCATAACCATCATTGAACTAAAAGAAATCAATGATACAACAAAGGCGTAACACATAAACGTGCCCTTTAATTTGGCCTCATCAGGTATCTATGTCCACCAATTTTGAGTTTGCACAAGTAGACACTTAAACTTGTATATAGTTGAACAAATAGACATATGCGTTCTACTTGGCGTCCTACGTATCAATTCATGTCCTACACGACATCCTACGTAACTGCATAAAGTTGGAGGACATAGATGTCAACTTAAGCCAAATTAAAGGACATATTTATGTAGTATGCATAATGTCAACATGCTTTTCAATGTTTTCATTGTCTCCATCCAAAGAAAGAATATAAAAGTAATTTGAAGAATCCAACATATCTTCTAATTCCCTCTATATAAAGAGACCCCCTTTATCTCTATACTGACAAAGAAACCTAGAGACATGGATAATAAGTTTCATTTTTTTCATTATCTCCATTTCTTCTTGCTTCTATCTTCATCTTGCTTTTCACTTGTTGCCTTTTCTTGGATTCCATATAATGAAAACAAGAACTATGAAGGCTCCTCTGATCTTGTTAATCTTGAATACCATATGGGACCTGTTCTTTCTTCTCCTATAAAACTTTATGTAATATGGTATGGCCATTGGAACCCTTCTCATCAAGCCACAATTAGAGACTTCCTCAACTCCTTTTCATCTTCTTCTTATGCACCTCATCCTTCTGTAGCTGATTGGTGGCATACCGTTCGGCTTTACACAGATCAAACTGGGCAAAACATCTCAACTATTTCACTTTCTGGTGAATTCTTTGACTTTAAGTACTCACAAGGGAAGTACCTTAGCAGATTATCAATGCAATATGTGATCAAGAATGCAGTAAGATCATACCGTGAATCTATACCGTTGAATTATAAGAATGGAGTTTACTTAGTGTTAACATCTTATGATGTTCAAGTTCAAGAATTTTGTAGGGCTGTATGTGGTTTTCATTACTTTACATTTCCATCAATTCTTGGAGTGACAGTCCCTTATGCTTGGGTTGGTTATAGTGGGAAACAATGTCCTGGTTTTTGTGCTTATCCTTTTGCTTGGCCTAAGAATTCAGGGAAGCCACCACCAAACACAAGAAATGGAGGAAACAACTTAATGGGGGCGCCAAATGGTGATCCGGGGGTCGATGGAATGATCAGTGTGATAGCTCATGAGCTAGCTGAGGTCTCTAGTAACCCTCTTGTGAATGCTTGGTATGCTGGGGATAATCCTATTTCACCTACTGAGATTGCTGATTTGTGTTTGGGAGTTTATGGGACTGGTGCTGGTGGTGGATATGTTGGACAAGTTTATAAGGATTTTAGGGGGAATGGTTTCAATTTACATGGTGTGAAAGGGAGAAAGTTTCTTGTTCAATGGGTCTGGAATCCACTCAGGAGAAGATGCTTTGGTCCTAATGCCATGGATTAGGCAAATAGAAGGATGTTCTTCTTGTACAGAGTTGTTTTCAAGTTAAATTATGCCTGTTTAAGTATATCGCGTTATGTAATTTCTTTCGTTTCCCCTAATGTATGCTTCAGAAAATAATAGCGTTATTGTTTATTGTCATTGTGGCCTATGCATTAATTAGCAGGAAAGAATAATTTGGTGTACCTTAAAGTAAGTTTCAGTTGCTGGATATGCTTTTAGATATTCAATGCTGCAGTGTATATCAACAGTGACAAGAAAAGTATCAATATTACACAAGGCTAGCAATGAAAACTTGAAGATGACATGATGCAGTGCTTTTGACAAACAACTGCTTTATTTTTCAATGAAAATTATGAGTAATCACCTGTCAAATGTTCTGCTAATTACTGGAGTTAGATTACCATTTTACAATCTGTATACTGCATGCTTCTTTCATCATAACTTTCTCGAGTCCTGCTTTTGGAGATAATGAACTTGTTCAATAGAGGCAAAACAAGTTTAGGAAAATAATTTGCCTATGATGGAAATATAAAGGTGACTAGTTAACAAATAAACAAAACAGGCCTATTTGACATAACAAAGAGTGAACTTTCTGGCTTAAAATCCACACTTCAATGTTTAGCTTGTGACCAATTGAAGTCGTATCTTCTTGAGTCCCAAAAGAGCTTCTTTCACGTTGACTCTAGCGTCTCGCGACACTGAAGTGCAGCTTAAAGCCAGTTCCATGACAGAAATAAAGCATTGCATCTTTGCATTTAGAGGTTCTTCCTTTAGCCTTATCAAATCTGCATCAACAATTTGTGCAACTCCGGTAGGAAGTGAGTCGTTTACCCAATGTTTAGGGTCAAATCCCCAGTAAACATTTCATCACTAGGCTTCCTCCTTGTGAATGCTTCCATCATCACAATGCCAAAGCTGTACACGTCGCAACTTGTTGATACAAGTCCATCTTGTCCATACTCTACAATGACAAGTGAGAAATAATTAGTTCAAAGAACACAGATGAATCATTATGCAAGAAAGATAAAGGAAAGAGAAGAAGTTCTATGTACCTGGCGCGATGTATCCAATGGTTCCAATAGTCTTAGTTTGTCTAAAACTATCTTCTGCACCTAACAGTTTTGCAATCCCAAAATCACTTAAATGGCCAACCATGTTTTCATCTAGCAAAATGTTGCTAGGCTTCAAATCACAATGCACCACTGGCTCTGAATAACCGTTATGGAGATAGTCTAAAGCAGATGCTACATCGATCATTATGTCCAACCTCTGCAACATGTCTAAGAATAAGTCATGAGAGTGTAACCATTTGTCAAGGGTGCCATTTGGCATGTACTCCAATATTAAGGCCTTGAAGTTAGGGGTGGAACAAGAAGTTGTGACTTTTGTCAGGTTCTGATGGCGAAGGTTGCGTAAGATCTCACATTCTGCATCAAAGCTCTTGAATGCACCTTCAAGTTCCAGTTTGAATACCTTTACTGCGAATATCGTCCCATCCTTTACCCCTTTGTACACCTTGCTAAAACTCCCACTACCAAGCAAATTGTCCTCTCTGAATCCATTTGTTGCTTGTCGAAGTTCATAATGGGAAACTCTTTCATGGGCCCTCATGGATGATACTTCAGTTGATCCCAATGGTTCATTTCTTTTTCTTCTTCTTAAAATCAGAAATCCAACAGCTGATGCAACAATTACAGATGTTATTCCCAAAAGGCTATACAGAAACAAGTAAAGCACTCTTTTTCTCCTCGTCCTCCGATGAGATTTGCCTTGGCAAGGAGGCACTTGGAGCCTTGATGCACCACATAATGCATTATTAGACAGAAATGACTGATTGGTGAAGTTTGCAAAAGGTCCACCAGTTGGAATTTCTCCACTGAGTTCATTGAAGGAAACATTAAGGTATTTGAGGTACATAAGAGCTTCTGAGGACTTTGGTATTTCTCCAGACAAGTTGTTATAACTCAAATCCAAGAATTCCAAGCTCAACAACTTCCCAAAAGACTCTGGAATGGGGCCATCTAGTCTGTTGTGTGATAGAGGAAGTTCGATCATTTTCTGTAGACTTCCCATACTGCTAGGGATCATGCCTGAAAAGTTATTGTATGACAAATCAATGTAACTGATAGCCTTCAGATTTCCAATTTGAGGGGATAGAACACCAGAAAATGAATTTGATGTAGCAAGAAGTACCAATAGATCTTGAAGGCTCCACAGGCTCTCAGGTAAACTCGAGTTCAATCTGTTGGAAGATATATAAAGATTCCTCAAACTAGTAAGATTCCCCAAACACGATGGCAACGGACCTGAAATTTTGTTTTCCCTTAAACTCATGTCTCCTATATTTTGTAAATGACAAATTTCATCCGGTATGGTCCCGCTTATCATGTTACTTTGTATAAGAATCCTTTGAAACTTCTGCAAACCTTTAACAGTTTTTGGGATGAATCCTGTCAAGTCATTGGCAAATAGTGATATCGATGACACATTTGTTAGGTTTCCAATTTCTTCTGGGATAATGCCTCTGAGTTTGCACCTTGGTGCAGAAAATATTTGGAGAGAGCTCGAGAAATTACCAATAGAAACTGGAAGAATGCCGTTTAAGGGATTTGGTGCAATGACCAGTTCTCTTAGATTTCGACATCTTGTCAGTGAAGTCAGGAAAGTTAATTGTGAAGTGGGATTCTGATAGATCAACTTGTTATGGCCTATCTGTAGAACTTCAAGGAATTCCAAATTACCAAGGGAATCAGGAATGGAACCTGATAGGATATTGTTAGAAAGGTCTAGAACAGTGAGTCTTGAAGCATTGGAAATAGAAGCAGGGAAGACTCCAGTGAGATTATTTATTCCCAAATAAATTTCCTTGAGATTTGGTGTCCCTTGCCCTACATTTGACGGTAGACTCCCCGATAGCTGACAATCCACAATTATCAAGATTTGGAGGGTTGAAATGTTGAAAAGGCTTGCTGGAATTGAACCACTCAACCTGTTTTGATACAATCCAAATAGTTGGAGTCTTTGAAGATATCCAAACTCCCTTGGTATTTCACCTGCCAAATTAGGAAATAACACTCTAGTGACCGAAAAGCATGCAAAATACTGAATCCCATTTCTGATGCTTCAAGGAAAAAGATACGCGGGAAAGCACTTGCATGAAGTGTGCTAGATGAAACATAACATTACAATACCTTTCAAGTAGGTAAGCCCAAGTTGCAGACTTGTCAGCATAGTTAGGTTCCCGATCTCTGCTGGTATGGTTCCAGCGAAATCATTTACAGACAATGATAGTATTTGAAGTTTAGAGCAGTTCTGCAGATTTGGAGGAATCAAGCCATCAAATCGATTTCTTGAAAGCCTAAGATGCTCTAAATTTGGAAGATTGTCGCATACATTTCCCGGTAGTTTCCCATAAAGAATGTTATTTGTCAGGCCAATCTGTCTAAGCGATGACTGGTTAAACATAGTTGGTGGTATAGAGCTTGTAAGCTTATTATCTTGCAGGTCTATTGAATTCAGGCAACAAAGGCTACTGATTTCTTGAGGAATTTCTCCTGTAAGAAAATTCCCTCGAAGTCTTAAATTCTTTAGCTTTGTTATATTAAAAATAGACGGAGGGATATTACCAGATAATTGGTTAAACGAAAGGTACAAGGAATGAAGATTTGGTAACAGGCCGAAAAATGAGGGGATTGCACCAGTAAAGTTGTTGTTCATTGCATTGATCATTTTCAATCTCCTCAAATGAGCTAACTCCTCAGGCAAACTCCCATGGAAGTTATTGTTTCTGATATCGAGAGAAATGAGAAACGAGAGATTTCCAAGCTGTGGCGGAACCATTCCTTTAAGGTTCATACTAGAAAGATTTAAGGCAGTGATTCTTGGTGGCGAAGGCTACAAGTAACTCCAATCCAACTACAGACCGGGGTGGAAGTAGACCAGTCTCTTGCTAAAACACTATGAGGATTGTATAAAGATATTTGAGATTGCAAGGCAAGAAGTGCTGTTTGATCAGTAGTGATATTAACGATTGACGAACAAGTACTCATTTGCTGAAGAAGCAGAAGTACAACAGCAAGATGAATACAGCCTTTCTCCATGACAGAACGGTAAACAGATGACAATCCTAAGCTAACAAATGGAGAAAATATTCAGCTAACTGGAATCATGACGCCTTAATTGGCTTCAGTAATTGATACCTACCTTTGCAGGTGTGTAAGTAACTATACATTGTATTGGTTCACCTATGATCAAGACTTGTAGGGATATGATATTAATTGTAAACAAGCAACTTGACATTTTAACCCTGAGGGGTAGCTCAGCTGGTAAAGGCCTGGGACAAAGTCCTTCAGGTCGCCGGTTCGAGCCCCAGCAGGGCCACTGGAGGCATTACAAACCGGCCGCGTCTCCAGGGCCCCGTGGAACTAACCGTGGTGGACCCGCCTTGAAACAGCGGGACCCGGTGGGTACAGCTAGTCGGGTTCGCAAAGCGACGCCCGGAAACCACGGTAAAAAAAAAAAAAGAAAAAGCAACTTGACATTTGTTTCATCAATTTTCTCTGAAACCTAAAAGTCAATTCACACATTAGTTGAGTTACTAAGGTATGTCGGGATCGAAATAACAAGGCATCATGCGGAAGTTAACAATTGCAAAACCTTGAACGATGCTAAATTGGACAACAAAAAATAAACTAAAATATGCATAATCTTTTTGACAAATTGGCCTATATATGAGAAACTAATATAAGAGAAATCATAAAAACTATTAGGAGAATGATACCTCTCTAAACAAGACTCTTAAACTCTAAGGGGTCGTTTGGTGTGAGAGATAATACCAAATAGTCCCGGGATTAAATTATAGTACCGCTTATTTTGTTGTTTGGTTGGCAAGTTCGGGATAACTTATCCCGGGATTAATAATTAGTACCGGGATAAGTTATCCCTCTCCTTGGGTGGTATAGTAATCCCGAAATAACTTATCCCGGGATAAAATAGGTAAATGACAAAAATGTCTCTTTCAACCCTTTTGTTATATCACTTTTTACATTAATGAAGGGCATTTTTGTAAACAAATAAATTATTCTTAAAATTTATTATTTTGAATACAACAAATCAAACACTCAATAAAAAATAATCCCAACACAACTTATCCCATCATAACTAATCCCAACATAACTTATCCCATCATAATTCATTTTCAAACCAAACGACCCCTAAAAGACTACATTGTGGATGCTATTAAATGTGGTTAGAAAAAAGTGGTTGAAGATGATTGACAACTTTACTGTTTGAAAAAAAGACAATATATGTAGGCAATTTGCATCTAATATGATTCTTTCAACTTGGCTCCACCATCATAGCCAAGTTTAATTTTCTCATACTGAAGTTCAATTCCAAATATTACACTGCAGAAACAATACATGCATCATAAATCTTGTGTCATTTTATTAATGTTTGTACCTTATTCTTATGTAATCAAATGGACTTTATAATTGTTATTTTCCAATTATCTATGCCATTACTGTTTGAAAAAAGGCTCATTCATTCCATTAATTTTAAATTCGATTTTGCAAAACCATTTTTTTACGTCAACCAGACCCCAAACAACTTTTAACACTTCTCAATTCAGGTTTTAGATTAAATATATTATTTTTGCTTCTTCTTCCTCAAGAACACAAAAAGAACATCAACAACTCCCAAATTTCCAACTTCTTCTATTCTTCAATCACCTCAAATTTCGAAAGTACCTTCCCTCCGAGCTAGATACCAAAATTTAATATCCTTTGAGCTCAAATTTAACTAACTCAACAAGATCCACTTGAAATTTCTTCAAAGTTTCAAAATTTCAAGTAGAAATTTTCCCACAACTCCAAATTACTTAAAATTTTGAGCATAGACTCAAAAAACACTAGGGAACAAAAATCTAGTGTCAATAATAACAACAAAAACACCAATCAAAGAAGATTTTCGAAAGTTTGGACTGATTTCGTTTTTTTTAATATATATATTTTTAATCCGGGTGGATTTTTTAACTCAACAAATGATTTTACAATTTTGCCTTTTCTAATTTTTTTTTATTTTATTGACATGACCGAAATTTGAGGTGATTTCATGAAGGAATGAAAGAGTTAAAACGTTGAAAGTTCTTGATGTTCTTCATGTGTTCTTGAAGAAGATGAAACAAAAAGAGTACATTTGATCCAAAACCCCAATTGAAAAGTGTTAAAAGTTATTTGGGTGTTTGGTTGAAGTAAAAAGTGATTTTGCAAAATCGAAGTTAAAAAAAAAGCATGGATAAGCCTTTTTTTCAAACGACAATGACATAAATGCAGTGACGGATCCATGATTTGATGGTCGTGGGTGTTCAATTCCTTTAACATAAAGTTGCTAGTCAAGAATTTTTTTTTAATAGAAGCTTACTAATTATTTTTTTTAGTTTGTAAATGAAATACAAAGTAGGAAAATGGAAAAACTAGAAAGAAATATAAGAAAAAAATATGTGAAAAGATATAAAAAGAAGTCAAAAACTATGAAGAAGTTTCATTTTTGTGAACTTTTTTTAGGGGTTACGTAAGGATTCGAACACCCAATGTGAAGCTTCATGACCAACGAACCCACAAGACATTTTGTTTAACGGGTGCTGACGGATATTTTATATAACTTTTTCAGCATTTCTTATATAGATATATAAAGTTTTCATCGGGGTTAATGGGTGCTCGAGCACCCATAACTCAATACGGTCCGCTTTTGCATAAATGAGCCAAAATTTTAACGGAGAACATAAATATGAACGTTGCAAAGAAAAGAAAGAAAACCAAGATGGGAAGTACATTCACTTCAAGTATGCCCTCAAATGGAATCCGTAACTAGGGGTGACAATTTCAGCTCATATAAGTGAAATTGATCCATTTTTTCCATATTAAATTAAATAGATCACTCATATTTTCTCAAATGTGTAAATATAGACTTCAACCTATTTAAGCTCATACAAATATGGACAAAATGGGTAAACATGATAATCCATATATATCCATATATCACTCACTTATCATAAAAAATTCCTGATTGCACTATTTGTTTTTGAAAATAGAAATTAAAATATGGGGGGTGAGGTGGATTTTGAAATTTTTTTGGGTGTGGGTGGGAGTAGGGTTGGCAAAAAAAATAAATTAAAAAAATAAAGTTTTAAAAGATTTTTTTGGGGTTGGGGAGGTGGGGTAGGGTTGACAATTTTTTTTTTTATTAAATTTTTTTTTTTCGGGGGTGGAGAAGGGTAAAAAAATAAAACTTCTTTTTTTGGTAGGGGTTGAGGTATTAATAATTTTGCTTTGACTTAATATGTTTTGGCTTTAGGAGATTAAAGTGGATTACAACTATTTTATCCAAATCATATTTGACCAAATCCTTATTTACCTATATTTTATATAGGTGGATTGTGATCCAATCCATTTTAACTCAATCCATCTAATCCACCCATTTGCCACTCCTACTCGTAACGATACCAGTAACAGTTGACCCTGTTGAGTCTTAACCCAAAAAAAAACACTGCAACGAATAATGGAAGTGCTCAAAATGCAAGGCCACAAGTACTTATCAGAAAGACTAAGACTTAAATTTGAGGTTGAAGTTTTCCATGTAGGGTTGGACCCTAATGCCATTTTCTACTCTTCATTAAAAGAACTTGTCGAACTCGATATTGACACTCTCAGCCAAATAAATACTCCAGAGACTAACAACAGTATATTGGTATGAATTTGATTTCATTAAATAAATCATTGATTTGCCTCATCAATTCTTGTTTTAGTAAAAAGAGAGAAACCAATCTTCTATAGTTATGGGAAGAAGTTGCAATCTTCTCTTTGCTCTTTCGGTTTTCATTCTGCTCCATACTTCACTCTCTACTGTTCCAAATATTACTACTGATGAAGCTGCTCTTCTTGCCTTCAAATCTCACATTTCTTCTTCTGATCCTAACAACATCTTAGCAACCAACTGGTCTTCTTCCACCTCTGTTTGCACCTGGATTGGAATCACTTGCACCTCCCGACACCATCGAGTCGCAGCGTTAGACATTTCTAGCATGAAACTTCATGGTACCATTCCTCCACACCTTGGAAACCTCTCATTTCTTGTTTCCTTTGACATTAGTGACAACTCTTTCCGTGGAGATTTGCCACAAGAGTTGGCTCATTTGCAGAGGTTGAAACTGATTAATGTCACAAGCAATAACTTTACGGGTGCCATTCCATCATTTTTAAGTTTCTTACCTAACCTTCGAGACATGTACCTTTCGATGAACCAATTTTCAGGGGTAATTCCATCTTCCCTTTCAAATTTAACAAAGCTGAAAATGTTGAGGTTGAAGAGTAATTTTCTGGAAGGAGAGATCCCTCTAGAGCTCGGTGATCTTCGTTACATGACGTTCTTAGACCTGTCGTTTAATCAGCTCACAGGATCTATACCATCATCTATCTATAACATTTCTCGAATAGAAAAGATTGATCTCACCTACAATAATCTTACTGGTAAGCTTCCAACAACTATATGTGACCATCTTCCAAACTTGGAACAATTTGCCATCTCATTCAACTACCTAGATGGCATTATTCCACCAAACATAGAAAAATGCAGAAAGCTTCAACTCTTGTCATTGTCTGAAAATGATTTCACTGGAACGATACCAAGAGAGTTAGCCAACTTGACAGCTCTTACAGAATTATATCTTGGAGGACTGCACCTGGAAGGTACATATAGTATCATATTTCCTTAAAAATATATATTTTTTTAACTTTATATCTACAATTTTGTCTAGTCTGGTCTTGTATTATTAGTAATCATAATTGGGATCAAAGTACTAAATATACGTATGATTTCTTCTTGGTGCTATTTCATAAAATAATTCTGCTTAACAACTGCGGAGAGATTGTGATATCAGTTTCTATCTATCATTAATGATAGAATACCAAATAAACGAGGTGGCGTTATTCCACAAAACTTGGAAAAATGCAGAAAGCTTTCCTCGTTTTTTCTTTCCCACCAAATTGGTACTCATATATTTCCCCCTCTTGACAGGAGAGATACCAGCGGAGCTAGGTAATCTTAAGAAACTATGGTACTTGGGATTAGATATAAATAACTTTACTGGTTCCGTCCCGGCAAGCATTTTCAACATGTCATTATTGCAGATCCTATCACTTAGAGAAAACAGGCTTTCAGGTACTCTACCTTCAGATTTGGGTGGCGGAATGCCCAGCCTAGAAGAACTTTATTGTGGATCCAATAATCTGAGTGGTTTTATCTCTACCTCTATCTCAAATTCCTCAAGACTCAGAATACTTGACCTCACATTTAACAGTTTCACAGGTCCAATTCCTGAATCACTTGGTAACTTAAAATACCTTGAGTTTCTAAACTTGGGGAAGAATAATTTTGTCGGTGATTCAGCATTGAGCTTCCTGATATCTTTGACAAAATGTAGGAAACTAAAAGCTGTCAGTTTTGCATATAATCCATTGGATGGTGTTTTTCCGGCATCTGTTGGGAATTTCTCTGACTCTCTACAATCGTTTGAAGGACATAGTTGTAAATTGAAGGGCATCATTCCCGAAGAAATTGGTAATCTTACTAAAGTGACAAAGATGAATTTGTATAACAATGAGTTGACTGGAGATATTCCAAATACTGTACAAGGCATGCTGAACCTTCAAGAACTTTACTTACTTCACAACAAGTTAGTAGGAACCATACCAGATGTCATCTGCAATTTATATAATCTTGGAGCATTACATTTGTCAGGAAATCAAGTTTCTGGTTCCATACCGCCATGCTTAGGGAACGTTACCAGTTTGAGGTATCTTTCGCTAGCTAACAACAGGTTGAATTGGACCTTACCTGCAAACTTGGGGAGCCTTCAAGATCTCAAAGAATTCGATGTTTCGTCTAATTTATTAAGTGGGGAAATTCCTATGGAGATTGGAAATTTAAAGGTTGCAACACTAGTTGATCTGTCAGAAAATGATTTTAATGGTAAGATCCCTAGCACACTAGGGGGTCTGGATAGAATGCTTAGTCTTTCTCTAGCACATAATAAATTAGATGGGCCTATTCCAGATTCATTTGGCAAAATGCTGGCCTTAGAATTATTGGATTTGAGCAATAACAATCTAACCGGTGAAATTCCAAAGTCATTAGAAGCTCTCGTGTATCTCAAATACTTGAACTTCTCATTTAATGAACTCAGTGGAGAGATTCCCACGGGTGGTCCTTTTGCAAATGCCACAAGTCAATCTTTCTTGAAAAATTATGCCCTTTGTGGTGACTCTAAGTTTCATGTTTCACCATGCGTCATCAAATCTCCGAAGAAGTCAAAGAGAAAAAAGATAATCTTGGTTTTGTACATCCTTTTGGGAGTGGGTATGCTATTTCTTGCATTAGCCCTCGCATATGTATTTTTAAGATGGAGAAAGATAAAGAAGAATGCAGATAAAGCAGATGTCTTTCCAGTAAAAGGGAAACATGAAAGAATTTCTTACTATGAACTTGAACAAGCAACAGAAGGATTCGACAAAAGCAACTTGCTTGGTAGTGGGAGTTTCAGCAAGGTTTTCAAAGGGATACTTAAGGATGGTACTCTTTTGGCAGCAAAGGTATTCAATGTGCAATTGGAGGGTGCATTCAAAAGTTTTGATACAGAATGTGAGATGTTGCGCAACCTCCGCCATCGAAATCTTACAAAAGTCATCACCAGCTGCTCCAACCCTCACTTCAAATCCTTGGTATTAGAATATATGCCGAATGGGACACTTGAAAAATGGCTATACAATCACAACTTTTTCTTAGACATGTTGCAGAGATTAAGTATAATGATAGATGTTGCATCTGCAATAGACTATCTCCACAATGGCTATTCAACACCTGTGGTGCATTGTGACTTGAAACCAAGCAACATCTTGCTAGATCACGAAATGGTTGGTCATGTCAGCGATTTTGGCATTGCAAAATTGTTAGGTGCAGGGGAAGATTTTGTTCAAACAAGGACAATAGCAACCATTGGATATATTGCTCCAGGTATTGAAACTTTTACAGATTCCTCATGTTTTTAGAATACCTGAAATATTAATTCTTTCCCCATATATATGATCAGTTTTAGCATATTCCTTGATAATTAGGAAGCTTTTTTTAATATCATTTTCAACCATGATTGCAGAGTATGGACAAGATGGAATAGTATCCACAAGCTGCGATGTTTATAGTTTCGGTATCCTGATGATGGAGACGTTTACAAGAATCAGACCATGTGATGAAAGATTTACTGGAGAGTTGAGCATACGACGTTGGGTTAGTGATTCTTTTCCAAATGAGATTCATAAGGTGGTGGATGCTAATTTGGTACTGCTAGGGGATGAACGAATTGACACAAAGATGCAGTGTCTGTTGTCTATCATAGAGTTAGCTTTGAGCTGTACTTTAGCGACACCTGATGCAAGAATTAGTATGGAAGATTCTCTTTCAACACTTCAAACGATCAGGCTCCAGTTTGTCAATAGTCGCCACTAGGTGGAACTAGACCATCCGCTTATGATTGACGCTTAATTACCTAGGTCAATTCTGCTATTTAAGATGAATTCAGTTTTGTACTTCATATTATGTACTCTTTCGCTTTCAAAACATCACAGATTTCTTTCTACCATATGCTAGCTGGAATAATGGTGATTTTCTATCTACTAGAGTTTACAATTAGTCTAATTCTAATCCATAAAGCATTTCACATTGTTGGTGTAGATAACTTGAGTCCTTAAAAGGTTACATGCTCTCAAAAATAGGGGCAACTTTTTGTGTGTTAATTTTAATTTGGCAAATGGACTTGCTTCATCATACATAGATAGTATAAAGACATTTTTACTTTATTAGTCTATAAATGCAATACCACAACTAACCAGAAAGAATAGGATTTTCAGTCTCCAGGTTGACGTTTTCAAACGCGTTTAGTTAATAAGTGGAATTGGATTTCTTCTACTCATGATATAGACACCACAATTCACAAACAGTCAATAAGTGGAATTGTCTTCTCTTCCACTCAAGATAGAGACACAACCCACAACCAGTGCAGTGGAAATGAATTTCTTCCACTAAAGATAGAGACACCAGAGCTGTATGTAAATGAAGGAAATTGTAAGGTACTCTAACATTCTGGGAACATGTCTTGTACGTTTGACCTCTATTCAGTGGCGGAGCCACCTTAGAGTTAGGGGTTCATCTGAACCCCCTTCGGCAAAAAAATATATTATTTATATATGATTAAAATAATTTTTTAGGTATATATAGTAGATGTCGAACCCCTTTCGACTACTTCATGTGTCTATTTTTTCAGATTTTAAACTCTCTTATTACTTCATGGGTTTAAAGTTAAAATGACTAATAATTAAACCTCATTAAAAAGTGGAAAATGACAAGTTGTAACATCTAATCATGTATTTGTTGTAACTTTCGACCCAGGGTCCAACCCAAGAAAACATTTTTCAAAAATATTTTTTTTTTTAAAAAAATTGACCTGGTCACTGGGGAGGGGGTGACGGCGGAGGGTGGGGTAGGGGTTGGGGTGGCATAAGAAAGGAAATTTCTTAAAATTTAAAATAATTTTCAAAAATAATTTTTAATTTTTTTTATGGGGTGGCGCGGGGTAGGGGTGGAAAGGGAGGGGGTAGGGGTAGGGGTGGCGTAATAAGGGAAAAAATTTAAATTTGAAATATTTTCCAAAAATATATTTTTTTAAATTTGAAATATTTTTCAAAAACATTTTTATATAGAAAAGTAAAATTTGACGGGGGTGGATTGGGTGGGGGTTGCGTAAAAATGTTTGTTTTTAATTATTTTTTTTGAAATACTTCCCAAATATAATTTTTTTTTTTTAAAAAAATTTGACTGGGGTGGAGGGGGGAGTGGCGTAAAAAAAATAATTTGATATATTCAAAAGCATTTTTTTGGGGGGATGGGGTGGTAGGGGTTGGGTGAGGTAAAAAAAATCTTAAAAGTTGAAACATTTTTCAAAAATAATTTTAAAATTTAAAATTTTTTTGTTTGATTGGGGGGGGGGGGGGAGGGTTGGTTGTTTGGGGTAGGGATAAAAATATATTTGAAATTTAAAAAATAAGATAATTTAATTTTTTTTTGAATGGGGAGGGTTGGGGGTACGGGGTATGGATAGTGTAAGGAAAAAAAAAGGAGTTCATAACCTAAAAGTTAAGAACGTTATGCCTTAAGAAGTTCAAAACCTAAAAGTTCCTTCATAACTTAGTTCAGTTTCACAATCAGCAAAGTTATACCTTAACTTGTCTATACTAAAAACACTCCGAAAAAGGCTACATACGGCGAATGATACTTCTCAATTTTTCATGTCATAGAAATGGCAAAATTACCATGAATTCAGAATAGTCAAAGCAAAAGGAAAAAGAAAAGTATTGGAGGAGGAATTGTCAACAAACTAAAAGTAGAAAAGCAGAGAAATTTCCTCTTATCCATCCCCTTTGAACTATGAATTAATGGAGAATATTAATATTTTTTTCCATTGACTACTTTCACTAATACAACTTGTAGTACTGAAAATTGACACTCTTTAAGGATGTATTTGGTATGAAAATTTGAAATATTTTCAAAAACAATTTTTTCAACAATTTTTTTTTGAGGGTGGGTGCGTGGGTGGGTGGGGGGGTTGCGGTGTAGGGATGGGGTGACATAAAAATGAAATTCTAAACATGCCATATCCACAATTAAGCAAACATCCATTTTCCTATATTAGTAACAACTAAAATTCCAAAAGTTTTTATCTAACAAGTAACAACCCAAAAGAAAGGTCATTTGCTACTATTAATTACTATTAATTAATATGCTATTGTTATATTATAGTAAGAAAAGGAACTGAAAAAAAAGCACTTGAGTTATTGAATGGTAATCGGCTTATTTGAATGGTTGTGGACAAAAAACTCATAGAAATGTGCATTGATTTTGTATTGTTTCTTCTTTTATTTGTCTAGTGGTTAAGGTCGTAAGAATGATGTTGCATTATTTTATTTTATGCGTTCTTTGTAATTTCTATTTATTTTATATGACTATCTAATTGTAGTAAATTTATAATTTCTTTTAGTTCAAAACAGTAACATATTACTTTGTTGGAAGTCTATTGACTACTAACCAAAAGTTTCCTCTATGAAATCAATTATAGGTGTATATATATGCACACCTCTTTTATCTATATTATATTTAATAAAATTATTGATATATTATCGTCTTTAAGAATGAAGTAGAGTTTTGAAAAATGTTTTCCTTAATTTTTAAATAGAAGTCATTTTTGTTAAATTTGACCATCATACAACCAACAGTCAAGATATCAAACAAACAAAAAAAATGTCGTAAGTTGAAGGATACCAGAGGAGACTAACGATACTAGTAAACGTTGACACACTTAAATGGTGTGTTTGGTAGGAAGGAAAACATTTTCTGGAAAATGTTTTTTCAATTATCTCATGTTTGGTTGGCTTAAAAAGTTTGGAAAATGTTTTTCAAATCAGCTCATTTTCCTCAAATTTAAGGAAAATGACTCCCCTTCCAAAATTAAGGAAAACATTTTCCAAAACTCCCCCCTCCCCCCCACCCCCAGCAAGTCCACCCCTCCCCGCCACCCCCGTCAATTTTTTTTTAAATAGATTAATTTTAGGAAATATTTCAAATTAAATTTTTTTCCATTTTTTACACCATCCCCCCCCCCCCCCCCCCCCCCCCCGGTGCCATCCCCACCCTAGCCACCCCGTCATTTTTTTTTTAAAAGTTGTTTTTGAAAAATATTTCAAATTTCATTTTTTATGCCACCCCATCCAGGCCAGTCCCGTCAATTTTTTTTTTTTTTAAGAAACAACTGTTTTGGAAAATAATTCAAGTTTTAAAAAAAATCATTTTTTATGCCAACTCCCTCTACCCCGGTGCGCCACACCATAAAAAAAAATCAGTTCATTTTAAAAATTGTTTTTGAAACATATTTCAAATTAAAAAAAAAATTCATTTTTATGCCACCCCTACCCGCCTGCCTGCGCGACCCCGTCAATTTTTATTTTTTTAAAATTATTTTTGAAAAAAATTTTCCTCAGTCAAATCTCATGGTCGGATTTTGGAATGGTTATCAGGGTCTTGTCCTAGTTTGGGTGTCGGGATCGGGTCCTAGATCAATTATCGGGGTTGATTTTCGGAGCATAAATTATTTTTCTAAAGAGTATTTTTTAGTCTCAAGCCAAAAATAAAAGATATTTTTTGAAAAATATTTTTCATTCACCAACCAAACATTAAAAAATATTTTCCAGAAAATATTTTCTACTCACTAACCAAACATGAGAAAATAAATTAGAAATCCACTTGTTTTCCAAGAAAATATTTTCCAGGAAAACATTTTTCCTCCGTACCAAACACACCCTTAAGTCTTAACCCAAAAAAAACTAATGGTAGTACTCAAAATGCAAGGTGACCAGTACTTATCAGAAAGACCAAGACTTAAATTTGAGGTTGAAGTTACTTGCGCATCTCATTAAACACAAAAGACATTTTCCCTGTATTGTGCCATTTTCTATTCTTCACTAAAAGAACTTGTCGAACTAACTCGATGTTGACACTCTAAACCAAAATATACTCCATAGACTAATGTCAGTATATTGGTATTCGTATGAATTTGATATCAATCACGACTATATGAAAAGTCCACGTATGGTGAATAATGCCAAAGAAATATGACTTGAGAATTTCCATGGACTGGTTGAGTGGAGGAGACTGGACTGTAGACTCAGTCTCACTAATACAACTTGTAGTACTAAAAAAATTGACACTCCAATGAATTTGATATCATTAGATATACACATAATCTAAGATCATTTATTTGCCTCATCGATCAATTCTTGTTTTAGTAAAAAGAGAGATACCAATCTGCTATTAGTTATGGGAAGAAGTTGCAATCTTCTCTTTGCACTTGTGGTTTTCATTCTGCTCCATACTTCATTCTCTACTGTTCCAAATATTAGTACTGATGAAGCTGCTCTTCTTGCATTAAAATCTCAGAAATTATTTTCCTAATGAGTATTTTTTAGTCTCAAGCAAAAAATAAAAGATATTTTCTAAAAAATATTTTCATTCACCAACCAAACGTTAAAAAATATTTTCCAGAAAATACTTTCTACTCTCCAACCAAACATGAGAAAATAAGTTAGAAATCTACTTGTTTACCAAGAAAACATTTTCCTTCATACCAAACACACCCGTAGTCTTACAAATATTGTTGGGTTTTTGAAAGATGTGAATGGAAAATGAAGGGTTGCGACTTTTATGAAGAGTTGTGA